GGGTACAGTTTCTAATATAATAACGTAACAGAGCAAAATCACGGTACTTATGTAAAACAAAAAATATCTAGCTAGAATTTCTGTTCGTCTGATTTAACTCATTTTAATTTACTTTTCTCGATTGTTGTTATTAATTTTCTTCGTTAAAAAGAGAAGCTTACATTCATATTAATTAAATAAACTAAGGGCCTGTCCTACCAATGGCCGATAGAGGCTCAGATAGCATAAAAATGACGTCACTGTCAAATAAGGGAACAAAACCCGATATTTCCATCACATATTTTACAAGTTGGATTGTTATTAGACAATTTACAATATGGTGGGACAGGCCCTTAATATTGTAGTGATATAAGCCAACCTAAAAGTCGACCTTTTTTACCAGTTAGATGCTCTTTATTTAACTGTATTTGTAAATAATAAATGTGCGTTTCACAAACGTGTAGACACGTTTACATTTAACAACACCCACGCACACGATTGCACTGAATATAAACAATTTTATTTCGAACATAAAAATAATTTCCGCTGCTATTGAATATGCAAGAAAAGACAACACTTCGATGAAAATATGGGCTATGAAAAACTAACATGTTCCTATAAACTTTACGAGCCAATAGCTGCAAAGAATTAAGATTACCATGGTTACTCACAGCCTTTGTTGCATTTGAAAATTAAAAACAAAAAAATTGTTATAATGTAATGTAATGCGGATGAAGACGGCAACATGTTTTGTAAGCTTGTAACGTTCTTTGTCTGGATATGTATTATCAAACAAAAACGAGGTGACTAGGAAAACATTTTATCTAAATTGCATTGAAACTATTTATGTGATTCCGCGTTTAATTCTAGCGTCCGCGTGTCCGAATTTCACTAAAGATATTTTTTATAACTCATCGGAGATATTCGTGTGAATGATTCACAGTATTCCATACAAAGAGTTTTTATTTGATTAATAATTTACATATTGATTTTTTAGCGCCTAACGTGCGCCTAGTGTTAAAATAAATCGATAATTATTTTTATCTGGGTATTTGCTCATGTATTATAGTAGGGGATTGTGTTATTTTCTTTCAATTCCCGTGTTTTTATTTCATCTAAATTTGTTTTAATCTGCTGAATATTTTACAGCGTCAGAATCAAAAAGTAAACATTGCCAAGATCTGCCTGTAATTTGTCATCAAACCAACAACATTCATAAATTTTCTGAACTTTTAATATTAGTATACAAAGTAACTACATAAATAATTCGCAAATCATCATTTTATTATTATATAGTTACTGGTTACTACAAGGAAATTATAATTTGGCCCCAAGGACTTTTCCTTTTGTAGAAGATAGCTAACCACTGAAGTTAAAGTCATACACGGGAGGTGCGTATGTTGTAAACGACAACTAAAATTTCTGTACAATATAAAATTTACCTATTAATAAAAAATAATAAACGGCATAAATAAAGATGGAATTGCGTTTATGGAATAAACAAAATAAGATTATCTCTAACTAGTAGTAACAGTACGTATCTACACATTAACTAGATGTTTTATATGATAAATATGAAAAAATCCGTATATTATCCCATTCGGGAATTTTCCCCGAGTTTTTTCCCACATGAGGGTTTTTTCGGGTAAAATCCCATCCCTACAGATAAATTATATTTCTAATGGTGAAAGTTTTTTTTAAACTACTGGGTAGTTTTTACGTGATTCAAATACATACAAAAATACAAATCTTTCGTCTTTATAATATTAGTATAGATAGTATAGATAATCTTTCAATTAACCACACTCGAAATATCACACACTGGACAATTCAACGCTCCAATTATTGCACGGACATTTTTAAAATAGGTTGAGTTAGTACACAATTTGATACAGTAATATTATATTTAGTCGGAACAGAACGGATAGAGAGTAGAATTACAATGGCCCAGTTAACTGGACGCACCTGTTTTTAGGTCGTCGCGAACGAATGCAATTCGCTTTGTCCGGTTGTTCACCTGAAGCTATGCGGCTCCTACGCATAGTGACGTAACTCGTTTTTTGAGTTAAATTACTTTTTGTTGTTCAGAACTCTGTTAAACAAGTTCTTTATATTATTGAGATTAACATTTATAAACTTTGTTTAAGTTTAAGTTTTGTTATTTTGAATTGAATATTGTTTTAATTGACACAGGATTACTTCTATGTCAACATACGCGAGTATATTTAAATAGCTCTTGTGAAAAATCGTTTTTTTTTTGTGTTACTACTATTTGCATATGAACCATATGACACGATGGTCGTCTGGATATTTATAAGCAACTATCATGTCATCTATGACGACTGGGCAACGGACAGTGGATCTGTCCAAGTGACATTAATCTTATAAGAAATGTAAGAATAGCTTTTCTCAATATTTTAGCTCCAGATAAAATCTGCGTACAAATTAGAGTCGACTTTGACAAGCGCTATGACTCTATTTTTTTTTTTGTCTTTACTAGAATGGAAATGTAGTACACTTCTTTTCACAACTATAAGAAGTTATAATACTTTTTACCAATATATCAGTTGGCAAAAACATAACCTAGAAAAATATATGCGCCAGTAATTGCCTGATAATTCCATTTTACTGTCAGCGTAGTCATCTATACTCTATACTAATATAATAAAGCGTAAACACACACTTCTTTGTTGCCTAAGATGTCAGCAATAACAGTATATTTTTGAATTATTCTTTTTTTATTAAAAAGCCCTATACTTACGTTACGCTTTAGGCTATTTTCACGCCATTCAACTTAGCGGTAAATATTTTAGATAAAAACCCTAATGTGGGAAAGAGACCATAAGTTGCTGCCAACATCAAGGAATCAAGGTTGCAATGGTTTGACATCATGTCATGTCATTTTGACATCTGCAAGTGATAATTTGACAAATGTAAACAATAAAATGAAATTTTTATAATTTTATGCGGATGAAGTCGCGTGGGAACAGCTAGCAAGTATTATAAAGTAACAAAAATTACACGCTTTTCTCCTTTAAATATTATTCTCTACACGTGCGACTACATGAAATAATATAAATAAATACTAATCTGGTATTTGTTATGGTATGGTAGACATTTGGCACCTTCCGTACTGCACAATACGTTATGCTAAGCTTCATTTGTTATTGAGACATGAAACTTATGCGATTGCTTTCTCGTTCACAAACCAACTAATTACTTCAAAAATAAAAATACAACACCCAATTGAAGAAAAAAGGGAATATACACTGGAGTGACGGAAGATAGATTGACTTGAAGGATTTGACTTGTAACTGAAATAATAAACTAAACAATAGTTTTACTAATTTTTTTTCTATTTAATGTACTACAAGCACAGTTACAAGATACTGTTATATTTGGACTTAATTTAAAGCTCGTTCTGGGTTGAATTGTGTTAAGATCAAAGTGAATTTTTCTAAATATGATTTTCATATGATTAATTTTCCTGTTGAGTCAGTTGCCACTTGGGTTACCGCCAACGTTCAACATTGCAAAACATTTTAACTGACAAATATATCATACTAATATCATAAATGCTAAAGTTTAGATGGATGGATGGATGTTTGTTAGAGTTTGTAGCCTAAACGGCTTAACGGATTTCAATGACATTTGGTATAGATGTAGTTAATAGTCTAAAAGAACACATAGGCTACCCACTTTTTTTTTTATTCCACGCATACGGAGTCGCGGTCGTAAGCTAGTTTAAACATAAACTTAAAAAAAACATACAAAAACAAACATTATTTCAACATCAATCTATGCCACACAATACCAATTAGGTTCACTGAACTTTGGACTAATAAATGTGTGTTTTCATTCAATTTTACTATGTTATGTATAAGCAACAAAATTCAACTTTTTTAATTTCTTTTTTAATTCATCACAATAAAATAGATCAAAGCACTTTTCAACACTTATTAAGATGATGTTTGTTTTGTCACATAATTTACGGTTTCGTTCACCTTTATAAATGAACGCTATAAAAAAATATTTTTTTTTTATTTTTACAGCAACGGCATCTATTATCATGAAGTTGCATTTCTCGAAGATTTCCGAGAAGAACGCCATCTATTGTTATTTTGAGTAATCTAAACATTTCTACAACTTGTACTGAAGTATGCTTGAAAAACTGTCTGGTCAAATGATAACTGCACTCTCTTCATTTGAGTGCAACCTTGGACTGGGAATAGCCCTGGTCCAGAAGTGTATCACACGTCACACCTAATTAACTTGACTGCGTATTTTTTTTTAATATTGTTGATCTTTGTCAAACTATAAATATTTCCTTTAACCGTTACTAAGCTTTTATTAAAGCTAAGTTAGCTTGTGCTAGGAAAGTCCAAAGGCGAGATTCGAACCTTCGACCGCATTATCGGTAGTTTGCACCCCAAACCATTAGGCTTTGGCGCTTAAAAGGCGCTTAAAAGTTGTCTTAAAATTGTTCTTAGTAAGGACCCAAGGCTTTATATGATAGGGACCACTCTTTCGTTTAAAACCTAAATATTTTAGTTAAACATTTTAACGATATCATTGACTTCGCTAGTGATGATCGGTGCACCCGGGCTATTAGTGATGTGCGTGGGCGACAGCGAGCTGTTATATTGACACAAAACACCGAAATAAAAACAGAATGACCGTCCCCAATACCAATCCCACGTCCCACTTATACTGCACGGTTGTGGTGATGCGATCTTGACAAGATACTCTTTTGTTATATTGGCTAATCCTTAGCAATGAAATAAACACATAAAAGTACGTAAGTAAAATTTAAAAATCGAAACATGTGTAACATTTGAAAACCGCTAGTAATTAATTAATCAACTATCAACGGGTAATTAACCTCGATATAAGAATGTATGACAGAAATTGCAACATTTTTTTCAAACGGCCCAATATTAACTTTATCGACAATCTAAGTAATTATGCTCATAGCATTCAGATTAAATCTGTTAGTAAAATGTATTTTTTTCTTGTTTCAGGTGCAACAAACGAAACAAACATCGAATATATTGGATTTAAATGATACAGAAAATACGTAAAATAAAAATCTACAATTAAAACAGTGGTCGTCATATCTACCAATTAAAAAAAACATCATGGCTAAAAAATGACGTTTATAAAAGCGCGCCAAACACGTTTAAAAATTATAACAGTGGCTTTCGTGCGATTTGGGGCAGTTTAAATGAAAATAGTGGATAAATCAAGTTCGACTTTATTGAGATTGGGTGAGGAAAACGACGGGAAGATGTCGCTGGTAGCTCCTAGAAGGGTCCAGCTTGATTGGGCGCCGAGCATCCCATGGTAAGAATAGCAATAATTAAATCATTGGCTTACGGTTTAGTTACATGCTGAATCTACGAATTAAGTGCTCTTTGAACTTGATATAAAATACCTATTCTAAAGATATGATTATTTATAGGATTGGGATAGATTCACCATAAATGACCAAAAAACAAGATCTTAAAATATTTACAAATAAAACTTTACATCTGTACTATAAGATATTTTTTTAGTCAATATGTTTTAAGGCAGTTGTTTCGGCGATGAAAACCTACAAATAGGAGTGAATTTTTATAAACTGTTTTTACAGTCGAAGGACCAATACTTCGGTAAATAGCGTGCCATTGTAAAAGGTCAGGATGTGCCTTGTGATGACTAAAAGCTATTCTGAGTCAACGTTACATTTTATAATCATAATAAATTAATTAAATCCCATTTGCTGGTTGTACTAGTTGTTTTTTGATATTAATGTAACATGTTTTTATGCTGTAATAAAAATAATTGGGAAACTAGACCTTTCCGTATTTATTGAGAATTTGAAAGCAGAAATATAAGTGCACTGTGCAATAACTCTAATTGTAATTATCATTATCGTAATATCTATTTGAACCATATTATTATCGAAGAGGTCATCGGCCTCTTAGTACAAATTACAGCTAACTTCAAGTAATACTGCGAAAAACCAACCCGTCAGCTGAGCGGGCGTCGCTTACTTCACTGCGGTGAAAAGAACCTGTCATGGCTCCGCGATCGATGTAGACCTGTGTCGAAATCGAGAGAAAATACGAAAAATGCTACCGCGCGACGCGATGAAAGACGTTAAACGCGTCTCGGTTGCTTTTTAACTGCTTAATTATTAAATAGTACAAAACGTCGCGCTTGTTCAGTGTATTTTCAGTGAATTTTCAGCGCATCTAAATATATTCTCTGTCGGATTGAGCGACGGACCCGATTTCCTAGGTAAGTTTTGTGTATTTACAATACATTATAAACAATTTTGTGTGGGGTGTAAAATGAAAATATAATACAAAATAATGTGAAATAAATATTACTGAGAGAATTTATGTGAATTGTTAAAAAATCGATTATATGTGGGTGGGATGCCCGGGTATTGCTTTCTCGCTTTAGTATTACCCGGCTGTGTTAGGAAGTGACGTAATACCGCGGCATTTCTCGTTGGCGTAGTGCAGAATAATCGGCCGGATTATTATAGCTGTCTCTTTTATCTTTGGATGTCTGACGGTTTTACTTATTTTCGGTGGGATATTAAATTTTTTCAAAAAAAAAACTACTAAAAGAAGTAATACGTTATTATTTAAATATGTAGGTTTTTTCTACGAAAATTTTATGCTAGTTTACACAGAAAATCGATATGAAACATATTGAACTGTAGTGTAATTAAGAGTGATTACTTTAAATTATTTTATCTAGCCTCGGAAAATAGACAAATCATTATGACAGATTATATAAAAAAAAAATATTATTATAATTTTGTGTTTCCACTGCCCAAAAACATTAAAATAGTTATCCCTTATATTTGCCTTTAAAAACTGGGACAAGTGAAGAAGTAGATGAAAGTATGTATTAATAGTTGTATTTATTTTTTATTAAGTTTCTTCATTACAAAACTATATTGTCCTGTATATTAATTATTGTTGATACATTTTGTATATATCTAAAAATACAATTTATGTATTGCTCTATAACAAAGATTTCAGTGTATAACATTTTACAATGGCAATTCATCGTAACTACAATTACGTTAATAAACCAATTATTCCTCAGTTATAAATGTATCATTCAAAGCCACAGCTACACATTAACTTGTTGAATATTCCAGAATATTTCTTATAATTTAAATTAAGTTTGCATTCATATATGACAGTTGATAGAGATGTATATACTGTGCCAACTCTCCTAAGGTAAAAGGGCAAAATAATTTTTATAAAATAGTTACCAGTAATGTACACCAGTATGTTTATTTAAAATCTCTTAATATGCCTTTTATAAGGTTTTTTCCTACAAATAAGGTTGTTGATAAATATAACTGTTGTTTTATATATGGAAATTTCTTGTAAATGTCTACATAAATTTATGAAGAATATTAACTACAGTCTATTGTATGTTATGGGCCACAACTATATGAAAATAATTTAGTAACTTGATTTACTGATATTGCCATCTTCTTTTTCTAGGCTAATGTGAGAGATTAAAATATGTTCTTGTACAAGTATTTTGTCAGTGAAAACTCAAGGTTACCTCCTCAATTGTTGCTACAGCTAGTGGGGCATAACATTACCCAACTATCAGTCAACCGTTAACAATGTCGATTCTTATCAGATTTTACTGTTAATTTCCACAAATAATATGTGAAATTGAGTATTTTGATTATAATTATTAAAAGAAAAATTTAATGAAATTGTGAAATATCCTACTATTGATATTGTTGTCTTTCTCACTTCTTTATTATTATGTTTTATTTTCTTAATTTGTTAATAAAAATTGTTTATTAACAAACTCCCTCTTCATGTGAACTGAGTTATTTTTTCAAAGTGAAACTTAAGTAATAACCAGTATTTTTATCTGCTGAATAAATTAGTATTTTTTACTATTAACAGTAACAACTGGTAAATAAGATATAAAAAATTAAATCTTGAAACCAAGGTTTTAATTTTTTTAACTCCTAGGACCGCATATAGAGGCATGGGCGTCGCCAACCATTGTTCTATGGACTAAAGGGGGATCCCCTATTCAAAGTTATTTTATATCTGTTTTTTTGGTTCTCTATGGGTTGGGGGGAATTTGGAACCCACACTAGTCCTAGAGAGGCATAGCATAAGTTTAGGAATCCCTGATCTATAGATAATTCCATTTAGCTACACTATCCCAATCAAGTTTAGCTGTTTCCACTTATATTTTGAAGAGCTGACCTGTTTACCGTGTTGCTGACTACTATCTGTGTCGGGTTAATGATAATAAATCTGCGACAATTGTGCGCACAAATGACGAAATACATCTTTAGTTATTCGTGTACATATATGCGCGTGCGTCGTTTTCTTGTTGTTAAAAGTACCTTCAGACGCGAGGTCTTGTAATGTTAAATAGCCTGAAGCATTTTTTATTTTTTTTTAACTACTAATGCCTTTATTTAGTTACTAGCTTTCGCCAGCGACTTCGTCTGCGTGGAATTAAAAAAAGAAACAAAAGTGAGTAGCCTATGTGTTCTTCCAGAGTATTCTTTACATTCATGCCAAATTTCATCGAGATCCGTTCAATGGTTTAGGCTACAAACTCTAACAAACATCCATGCATCTATCTATCCATCCATCTAAACTTTCGCATTTATAATATGAGTATTTAAGTATTTATAATATTAGTAAGATTAGTAAGAAATAAGATTGCCAGTGTTTATTAGACAGCAGTCCGAATCAATCGATAAGGCGTTTGTATTATTATTATTTGTTTTAAGCCGAGATATCAATGTTTGACATAATATTGTTTTCGTAATTGTCATGTTTTAAGCTAGGGTCAGGTTGGGTGATAAACTACATACTCTAATTTTATGTTGCCTACTTAACGCTATTTAAAGCTAGCACTTTCGATAGTGTGCGGGTAAAACCGATTTAAAAAGAAACTATTTCGACTTAATAGTCCAAAATGATAAAGTTATAGGAGTAATTAAACTGTGAATAAAATGTGTCCAGTACAGAAAAATCAGTAAAACTTAATATAAAGGCTCTGTGTTCATGCTTTGAATTGTACTTACTCTGTATAACCCTTCAGCGTTGAGATCTCAACGGGGCGAACTTTCGTTTCGTATTTATTCATAAAAGCGAAGGAATGAGGGCAAAGAAAAACTGTATACAAAGTTTCTTCAATTTTAAACGCCTTTGACTTTTCTTTTTGTTTCCATGCTGTTAAAAGAGTTCCTAATATCAGAAGCACTAACGTATAATTGAAAATAGATCGAACTGTGCGTTGTTAGTCGAACTCAGAGTTGTAAATTGGTCACTAAGTCCACTTTCCTACTGATCGCGGCGGCTTAAGCTTAAGTATGTCTCAATTATATGCATAGTTTATTGTGAAATTATTGTTCTGAAACAGTTATTTGATGTAATAAGTATGGTTAACTCAAATGAACCATGAAGCGGTATTTCCGAATCGATAGAACTTTCAGCCCTTTAAAAGTGAACCGATATTTTAACCAACTATAAAAAGGATTTGGATCTAAATTCGTTTGTATACTTTTTGTTATTTGTACGTTTGTAAACAATAGCATTCGCGAAAATTATTAATTACTTCTATTTATCTACTACTTTTCTATACAACGTAAGAAATTGTTAAGTTATCTTAAGTTTTGTTGGGCTTAAGTTTCAAGAAAAGAATGATATGGCCGTCCTCGATGGCGGGGGCACTGCTGCTCAAATACTGCGTTGTTTTAGTATTCGTAAAGATTTTTATTACCAAACTGAAGTTAATGTACCCACGTCCTGTAAGCTTTAATATCGACCGCAATGTCCCTGTGTAATGGGTGCTTCGATCTCGGTGAATTTGGCACTCATTTGACGAATGTTTTGAAGAAAAAAATGTCATTTTTCTGACGTCACAAGAAGCTGACCATTATGTCTTGTTAAACGCAATAGTGACAGCATGAAAAAGTAATCTTGGGTCTGGTTATCTATATGATATTGCCAAATAAACTTAAGGAAAAAACTCTTCTTATCCCACACATTCTTTTTAAAAGGAGGAAACAATGATACGAATAGAAGATAACAAAGGCCAATTTAAATTAGACGAATTGTTTCATTTTGTAACTAGTTGTCGCCCGCGATTTCGTCCGCGCCGAATATATATTTTTTAAGTAGCCTATATGTTCTTCCAGACTATTATCTAAATCTATGCCAAATTTCATAGATATCCGTTAAGTTGTTTTGGAGATAGATAGTAACAAACATCGATCCATCCAAACTTTCGCATTTATATAATTAGTATTATTCTCTAAGGAATAGAATTAACGTAAATTAATTGGTTTTCGTTTGGAATAAGAAACACCCGCATCAAGTGTCTGTTACAATACACTGACATACAACTATGATATTAATTTACTTGATAAGTTCGAGTTAAGTTACGTGCGGACAGAGGCGTGTCTTTACAAGGTTATTGCGGTTAAAAAAGCAGTTATAGTAGGTCATTATATAATAAACTTTATATACAAGGAATATTAGTATACTAGCTTTCGCCCGCGACTCCGATCGCGGGAAATATAAACAAAAAACAAAATCTAGTAGCCTGTGTATTCTTCCTGAATATCCTTTACATTTTTGCCATATTTATAGAACCATTAAGCGGTTTAGGCTACAAACTCTAACAGACATACATCCATCTATCTTTCTTATTTTTAACATTAGTAAGATACGGTAAGTATACGTGTTTAATTTTAAACATTTTCCATATGGTTTAAAATTTGTTTTTCGACGCGTAGACCTTGTAAAAAACATTATTGCTTATATCTGTCAATTACATTAAAAATATTACATGGTTCATGTGTAAATTATTAAAATGATTTTATTATACCGCATTACTAGAATAAACTAAAAATCGCATTTTATAAATTAATTGTATAATTTATAGTTTTAAGTTGTTTGCTCTTTGTAACGCTATAGTTTTTAATTTAATTAATTTTAGGGAGTGTAACGGCTGTGGACGGTACGAAGTGATCCTCGCATGTTGTCATTGCGTTTTGTCATTTAACTTGGCAGGGTTACCCAGCAGTAGGGTTATAAAATCTACCCTCCATTGATATCCCCTGATACCATCTAATAGGCCAGAAACCGATCAATAAGATGTGAAGATTGTTTGGATTTGTAGAGGGTGGGGTACGTTTTATGCAACGTAGATTATGTAGCAGAAACACGCAAGTATGTTTTGTTATTTGCATTGTTAGATAATTTTATTTACTTGTTTTAATACCCATTATGAGCGTCACAACCATATTATGCTTTAATAAAATATATTCTTATCTATCTCTTATGTTTTCTTCCAATTTGTACAGAATAACGTTACCAATAACACCTTTTTTCCATATATCCACCATCCCCCTGTTCGCCACTACCAATATAACCGTCGTTTAGCCCAGTTAATACAACACTTTTATTTCTGACATCTGATTACTGTCCGATTATGAAACAAATGTTTAAAGAATGCGTTTGAACATAATTACAAACATATTGTTATTTTAAAAAGTAACTAAAAAAGCTAACACCACCGACAGAAGGTTTATGAATACAACACTTGAAAACTTGTTTTTAAAACATTTTTTGGTGACTTAAGTCCTGTACAGATGATCAATTCTGATAGTTTTAACTCAAAAATTGACACTGTTCATATAATTTTAACTGAAAGTTGAACTGAACTTGATCTGATCGTCGGTAGCGGGTTTTACAAGACATTGGTTACAAATTCCACAAACTTCCATAGTGATCCATTATAGCGTTCAAGGTCACCTTTTAGCTGGGGGACTGACCTAAAAACAGTAAAACCTCACCTCTCTTCGTTTAGTATCGTATTTATCCAGCAGTAAATACGCTATTTATTGCTCCTATATACCTATATAGAGATTGTACAGTCACCTTGTGACATTTTATAAAAGCATCTTCACAAAGAAAGCTTTATAATAGGGACGTTTTTATTAAAGACCGTTTATATTAAAATTTATATAAAGACGCAAGAGTTACTACTTGTGGATCGATCGTGGTATCTAGCCTATAGTTGTGTAAAATTCACCACCTGTAACCACAAGATGTTGGCAGAGGCTTTTAATATATAATATATTTTTTTAATGCCGCGCAGACGAATTCGCGGGCAAAAGCGAGTTACAACTTCACACAGTAAAATATCCTTTTCGATTTTTATAGATTACAGATTACGTTTGTTGCGATGTTATTTTACTCATAATGAAATGATAAATTCATGTAAAGTGTTAATGTTTTTGTATGTTTGTTACAGGGAGCAGGAGCCGACCTGCGAGAGGGAGCAATCTTTCAAGCAGTTGGCACCGCACGCCTCTCACAGATCAGGTAATGTAATAACATACTTTAGTATATTGACGAACACTTTGAATGAAAAATTATTAGTATAATCTGTCCAAGGATCGCTGCAATCGGCTTATGCATAGAAATTGTTCTCTCTTTTTTTTACTTTCGCTGTAGTTTTGCAGATATATGGTGATTTTTACAGAAGTAGGCACATTTTCAAAATATAAATCTATCGAGAAAAGTTTGTCCAATCGTGATTCTGTTCTACGTTAAAGGACTGAAGTTACACATACTAAAATATCACCAATCAAATCTTTGTAGAAATCCTGTTCTATGCTTCCAAAGATGCGCAATTTGCCATAACAGCGCCTTAATACATGTTATGTTTTGACAGAATCCTCGTCGTCATCAGCGGACACCGCGTCCCAGGGCTCGGGCCCTGCCGCTCAGCAGCAGCCCCGTGCGCGCCGCCATGAGCCACAGGTCAGTCACACTCAGATGTACCACAGATTTAAATTTAACCAAAATACTTTCGCCATTAAAAAAGACACATTGTCACTGAGTGCAACTAACATAGGCAATATTTTGTTTAAGGGTATGAATATGACATTAAATATCTGAAAATATCTTCTTTGCCACCCAGGCGAAGCCGGGGCGGATTGCCAGTTATAAATATTTGTGCTCAAAGACTGGAAAATTGATCTCTCTGTGAACGAGTAAATCTTGTAAAGTCGTTCTACTCTTGGAGACACACCGCCTTGTTTTTACACTCCATTTAAAATCACTTCGAACTAAAATTATACAGAAAATTACCTTTATATTCTTGACTATAAAAGTGCTACAGCTTCACAGAGTAAAAATATCTCCATCTTTTCATGCCCTCCTTCACTGTCCCCCTGTATGCGACGCCTTATTGAAATACAATATTGCACGACATTTTATCATACTTTATACTAATATTATAAATGCGAAAGTTTAGATGGATGGATGTTAGAGTTTATCACCTAAACGGTTGAACGGATTTCGATGAAATTTGGCATATATGTAGAGCATAGTCTGGAAGAACACATAGGCTACTGACATTTGTTTTTTTTTAATTCCGCGCGAGTGGAGTTGCAGGCGAAAGCCAGTGTTAAAATATATTTTAGCACGAGAATAGAAATGCAGAATGAAGACTTAGAAAGAGATGGATGGATTGCGTGAAAGGTGACATGATCAAGTGATGACTGAGGTGACGGATGATAGTTATTTTGAGGACGAAAACCCGGTGCGCCGATCCTACGGGAGTAGGATAAGATAGGGGGAGATGATGAACAGAAATGCTGTCAACTCATTTTTTGACGCTCTTTGAGTTGTCAATTTTGGAACGTGTAAATTCATATACGTTTTGCACCTCAGATAATAATTTAGTCTCTTTTATAACTGCCATTAGTAATAGAATTGATATATTCAAGTATACTTGTCAACCAGTAAACTATCTCGACCAGTTTCCATATACGGTGCGGAATGAATTTGTCCGTATGTGCTAATTTACTAAGTGTATGTCATTTGTTGGTGTAACATAGTCGATGATAGACGTGTCAGTCATGAAGTCTATGGATCAAACTGTTTTGCAAATAATTCAATATTTATCTAAAGTAAGTATATGAACTATAGGTTCGGTTCCACTTTTCTTGTTTCCACAATTTGAACAATAATACCAACCTATAAAAAGTCTAACTAAAATTAAACGTTGGCAATGTGTCAGATACTAAAGTGTTTTTTATATTGTTAAGATTTCAATTGCGAAAGGAAAAAACAAAATATCTCATACTTTCGAAATAATACTGATAGTACCTATAAGCAAAAAGCAAAACCCGTCTAAAGAGTGTTACATACTGTTAGTGGTTTGTTGTTGGTGAGTTTTAATTAATCAGTTCGATTCTTCAGTTAGAACTGAGCGTAGGCTTAAGAAACTGAATGCTCATATAAAGAGCTCTTTAAGATAGCTTAAGAACTGTAATAATCGTATACTTTTAATATTTTTTTACTTCTCTAAAAAGTATAATAACTTAGAAATATTTCCAAGTCCAAGTCGTAAAAGCTAGTGAATGAGGGCAGCGTTTTCAATGGTATTCATTAGTGGCTGGAAAAAAGTTTTCTCAGTATAGTTATAGTGCTGTAGAATCTGGCTGAGACGTAGGGCTGTCAACCCGGATGTATGCGGCGAAAAAAAAAATTGATTCTTAGGGAAACAAGTGAATATCGAGTGACTTGTATCACTTTGACCAGTAATCATCGTTGTCAAACACGTAGCCTGAACATACGTAATTGAAACATAAATAGTCTAATGGTTCACTTGGCCACTACAGTTGATGGGTAGAGTTTAATAACTAGACTGGAAATTAATTAGCCCAATGTGAACTTTTACTGTCGCCAGTGACGCCAAACAATCTATGACTGCCCGTCGCAACTGTTAAACTAAACGGGGTAAGTGTTAACTGCGCATAATGGTTAAGGATATGAACATCCGATAACGTGTTTATGTGTTCAATTCTTGTCATTTGACTATATAGTAAACCACGTCCTAGGAAATCGGATTTCCAGAAGTATTAGTATTATAAACATTTTTTTATATTTGTTAAGCTAGCGCTTGACCACGATCCCATCTCAAGAAAGTGATAATGCAGTCGAAAGATGGTACGCGCTACCTACATTTTTCTAATATTTTTCTTGAAAAAAAATCAGAGGTGTCAACCCTGTTGAGACGACCGTGTCTCATATTGATCTTTGTTTTCACCCCGCAAGGTCGTGTTACAATGCCGATTGTAGGCGAAGTTCTTACTTTCGGAGCTCTTTCGATCTTACTTTTTAGTATACAGGGTGAGGTTAGAAATATGGGTCGGATTATCATGGCCTAGTTATATTCAGTTAAGTGTTGTTGTTTAAACCTTTAAAAATACATAAAGAAATCGTTAATACATAACCGAATAAAATATCTTATATTTGATTCATCTAGCATTTATGTACATATATCATCTATACTTATCTATACTATCTATATCTATACTAATATAATAAAGCGTAAACACACACTACTTTGTTGCCTAAGATGTCAGCAATAACAGCATATTTTCGAATACCTCTTTTTTTTAATAAAAAGCCCTACACTTACGTCACGCTTTAGGCTATATATTTTTACGCCGTTAAACTTGGGGGTAAATATTTGGATAAAAACCCTAATGTGGAAAAGAGACCATAAGTTGTTGCCAACATCAAGGAAGCAAGACTGTCAAGGTTTGTCATGTCATTTTGACATTTGCAATTGACAATTTGACACATGTAAACAATAAAATAATTTTATACTGATGAAATCGCACAGGAACAGCTAGTATATAGAAATAATCATTGTTATAATAAAAATGTTCTTGTGTTTTCAACGAACAAACCGCCCGAGGGATTTACTTACAAAGGAGTAACATTTGGGAACAAAATTCATTAAAGGTTAATATTGCTGGCATTTACCCTCATTGATAAGGTCAGATCGAATTGCCTGTCGAGGTAAAATTGACCAAATAATATAGCGATTTTATTAATAATCCATTGGTCCGGCTAACATTTCATGAATCCGAATTTCAAATTGCAAACTTTCCTTAAATTATTAAATCTCTCTTTAGTAGAAAGCCATCACTTGTGTCCCTAAAATAGGTCAATAGTTATATTTTATGTTATACAGGCGAAGTCGGGAATGCTTGTTAGTTTCACACACAAACCGTATATCAAATCTCTTGCGGTTCTTTACTGACCACATATGTCTTCATCGTTGATTTCCACTGCCACAATTGTGTACATTTGTCTCTTTTTTGTAAAAGATAATGAAAGAGATGTCGATATGTAAACAATTGCCAGTGTATGGTTGGTACAGCTGTCAGCTGTTTTGTTACCACTTGACCGCGGCCTTGCTTGGCCTTGTGCACGGAAAGTACATTGTAGTAAATTGTTATTATTTTGTAAACTTTACAGACCACTGCTCGTGTTTGTGATATCATGTTTTTTTATTAAACTAATGTAGCAAATGTTAATAAAGTTTTAACAAAATTATGTGGTGATGAAACACAAAATATGCATTTTTCGGTTGGTTTACTTTTGTACGTTATATGCTGGGTTTCTGAAACTTATTTATTTTATCTCTACCTAATAATGAGTGTTAGATTGACCTAAGTTATAACGAAGTAAAACTTAAGTTACGTAGTTGGGAACCACATTTTATTAATTTATTGTGCTATAAGTACTATCGAATGGTTTAAAGTAGCTAGAAAACCTGCAAATAGAAGCCTTGGAGACTATTGTATTATCGTTCATGTTGCAAATTCTGCTAAATTTGTGGTGAATATTTCATGTTTTGAAGTATTTATGAAAATGTGCATAAGTTTGAAATGAAAGCTTATTGTTTTGGAATTTTATCGTGTTTTGTGTTATTTATAAAGTGCGTGTTAACTGCACATTACCGTTCTAACAAATTAGTCTGCCCCTACCTGTTGATTTGCAATATATTTGCATAAACTTAATGCAATGAGAATTCTTTTAACTTTACAAATAACGTGCAAATAGCTCTAGAAAGGATGAATGAAAACATACTTGCTGTATATTTTAACACTAGCTGTTCCCGTGTGGCTTCATCTGCATAAAATTATGAGAATTTAATTTCATTGTTTACATTTGTCAAATTATCAATTGCAAATGTCAAAATGACATGACATGACAAACCATTGCAACCTTGCTTCCTTGATGTTGGCAGCAACTGATGGTCTCTTTTCCACATTAGGATTTTTTTTACCCCCACAAAATTTTTACCCCCTAAGTTTAAATATAAAGCCTAAAGTGTGACGAAAGTGTAGGGATTTTTATTAAAAAATGGATTATTCAAAAATTTGCTGTAATTGCTGACATCTTAGGCAACAAAGAAGTGTGTGTTTACACTTTATTATAATAGTATAGATAGCATATTTTAATTTAGAATGTTTAAAAGAGATACATTTATACTAAGAAATATGAATTTAGATATGCCAGATAAGTCTAACTGCTACTCAAAGTCAATAAGAAAGTCCTTAAGTGCAGATTTAATATACAAAGCATATAATCTTAAAACTCTTTCAGCCTCACAAATAAACGCGGTATAAAGTTAAACTTAGGAATAAACTGAGTATAAGCAAATATTAATACAAATTTGGCTTATACTCAGTTTATTCCTAAGTTTAACTTTATACCGCGTTTATTTGTAAGGCTATTCATGCTAACACAGAAATTGCAAGGATTTCGTTCTATATTATTTTTTATTGACGAGGTATTGTTTTTTGTTTCAGAGGGAAGAGCGGCGCGAGGAAGCCGCTAGCACTCCCAGAGTGCAACCTAATCCTTTACTGAGGTGAGAGCACTATTCAAATATAAAAATAGATTTTACGTCTTATTTTACGAATATAAATACACGGTTATGCGACCCAAGTTACTGAGGAGAGGTAGAAAATTGAAAATTTCTCATATATACGGATTATGAGAGGTAAATACTCGAGACGCCAACTCGTCGATTATTATGAAGACTATTTTATATCGGTATGAAAATGTCGAACCGGTATGAGAGGATTTTAGAGCATAACTATAGAAATATTCAATTTATTGAACTATCTATTGAGTGAAATAGATAAAAGGGCTTGTTCAAATTATTCACGCAATATAACAACGGTCATCATCATCATCTCCTCACTATAGGTCCCCATTGCGTGGCTTGGAGCCTGCCCTAAGTCAGAGGTGACTAGGCCATAGTCAACCACGCTGGCCCATTGCGGGTTGGTCGACTTCACACATATCTTTGAATATTTGAGCCGATATGAGCAAGTTACACAATGTGTTCCTACACCGTAAGAAGATTGGTTAAATTATGTACATATGAGTATCCGAAAAATCGGAAATCACATTGGTACATGGCGGGAATTGAACCTTAAGTGCTTAAACCACTGAGCCACCGACGCTCTAACAACGTTAGCAGTGTTAAATGATCGCGTTTTCACTTCTAATTTGTTTACAAACATGTTCTCGATCATTAAACAAAATCTGAGATAACAATATTTTCAGTTATAACTTACGATAAGAAAAAACCTGTCGTTAAGTTCTGTTTGTATTAAAAAGTAACAATAATTTTAAACATTTCAAGTGAATAATATGTAAATTAAGTTCTATTCACAGTAAGCTTAAGTTAAATATTTGCGAGCGTAAGCCTCTGCATATTGTATAATGCTTTGCTCGACCGTTAATTATTCCATTGTCAACATTGTAGAAGTTTTTTAATTTCCCAGCGTAAGTTTACGGCCTTGATTATGATATGATGTTTATATTAATTTATTATATTTTAACTGTAATAACTTGCAAAGTAAAGGTAAAGTGTGAAAGCATTGATCTTTTTGGATCTAAATTAAACGTGTAGTTATTTTCTTTGAACTCAAAGCCGCGTACAAAGCGGTTTGCGGTAAACTTTGAAACCTCGTTTTAATAACAGTGATTTATCTAGAGAAGTGCATTACCTCTTAGATTTTTTGTTATATTTAAATGTCTTCAATTAAAATTCACTATAGACTATAGATACAGAATTGTTAGTCTTGCTTCTTGTGCAATATTCATAGTTTTGTATGACAGCTGGCATTGAACGTGTTAATATTATAAAGTTAAATGGAAATAAGAACCGATATTCACACATTTTATAGACAGACAACGTTACGTTTTGCCTATGAATTTATTTTGAAAAGTTTTAGTATTTATATTGACGATACAAACATGTCTGTTTTAATAAGTCTGTGATTATAGCTTTATAAAGGTAAAAATATTTAGTAAGGGTTATAACTTAAATGTTATTGTTAGGTCGCGTACCCTCCCTAACTTCGGCGGCAATCGTTCTCGCGAGGCGTCCCGCTGTGACACATCGCGGCGCGCGCACCACATCACCATGGCATCCGAGGACCTGCTGCAGCCGGGACACGTCGTCAAGGAGAGATGGAAGGTCAGCTATATTCATCAAAAATATTGAAAAAGGAAAGAAAAACTCGTTAAAAGTCTTGGTTAATAATAAATTAGTATGATTTCCTAACACGATAGTGGCATAATTAATAGAGATGAATTTATATTCTAAAATATGAAAATGTGTTCTTCCAGGTTGTAAAAAAGATAGGTGGCGGTGGATTCGGGGAGATCTACGAGGGTCTAGACCTGGTAACACAAGAACAGGTGGCACTCAAAGTGGAGTCAGCTAGACAACCTAAACAAGTACTCAAGATGGAAGTGGCCGTGTTGAAGAAACTACAAGGTATGTGCTATTTTAATAAACATTTGTTATTGATTGTTTAACAGCAGAATATTGAAACGAATCTTATATACTTCTAATAATAATCTTATATCGCTTTGTAAACGTTGCTTACAATATGACTTTAAAATTTGTCGTCTCTCACATTGGAGTTTAGACTGGTTGTTTATTTCAATGTTTCGATATTCGACAAAAAGTATCGCGCGCACACCTTTGACTAAACAATCGCACAACAGTTGTGCGATTGATTGATTTGTTTCGTAGCCAGTTCAACTATTTGCACAACTAAAAATCGAATAGTGTGCGCACTTCCATATAGGTTCATAGGAATCAAAGCGTACTAAATAGTTGTGCGATAATATAGTCAAAGTTGTGCGCTCTAAGATTTAGTACTTCTGTCTATTATATGTTGTCATGTATGAAACGGCCTAGAGCCTAAACGATTGGATCGATGTTAACGATTGAAGTGTCATTGTGTTTTTATTCTTATCCAGAGTGTCATGGATGTGTTTTTTTTTGTTTTTTTAATTAACAAACATTCTTATTTATGTTTTTATATAGGCAAGGAGCATGTGTGTCGTTTCATCGGTTGCGGTCGTAATGCGCGTTTCAACTACGTAGTGATGCAACTGCAGGGTCGGAATCTCGCAGAACTGCGACGAGCGCAGCCCCGAGGAGCTTTCTCACTCTCTACTACTCTACGGTGGGTACAATATGTGATAGTGGCTCCTATGTAAACGAACGTAACTCACAATTTTATCTTACTAAGAGGAGCACCTTTGACTAAGCTGTAACACAATTGTTGTGCGATTGTTAATTGTTTCGTAACGAATGCAACTATTTAGTTGCAGTAAAAATTGAGTGTATCTCCATATAAGCTCATAGAAAACAAAGCGCGACTAAACGATTGTGGGATAGTTTAGTCAGATCTAATATTATAAATGGGAAAGTTTTGATGGATGTTTGTTTTTAGTATAAACTGCCGAATGGATGTTGATGAAACTTGGCATAGAATGTAGATAGTCTGGAAGACGTAGGAAAACATCGGCTCTTTATTCATTTTTTATTATTTTGGTAAAGAGTTGCAGGCGAAAGCTAGTTTTGAATATTTTTTTTAAATTGTATTGTTAATATTTTGTCACTTTTATAATTATTCTAGTATCTAGTATACAAAATAGATTTTAGTATGAATTTAAATTTTTATTTATTTCAGATTGGGCCTTCAAATATTAAAAGCAATAGATTCAATACATTCTGTCGGATTTCTACATAGAGATATTAAACCTGTAAGTAATTTAAATATATTTTTACAAATTTCAATATCGTTCGGAATTTTTTATTATATCGTGTAACTTAAGTAGATTTACTCCACTTACTTAAATGATTATCATCGTGATAACAGAGTAACTTCAGTATCGGCCGGCATCCGTCGAACTGTCGTCGCGTGTACATGCTGGACTTCGGACTGGCGCGCCAGTATACCACCAGCAATGGACAGGTGCGCCCGCCGCGCGCCGCCGCTGGATTCAGAGGTATAACAAGTCATACATTTCCCCTATTCATTACACACTACACATTACACATTACCCACCACTACTGCACATATAGTTTTTTTTTCTCTTAATATTTCCATACTTGTTTATTTTTCTGTTATTGTGTTTTTTCTGGTCATTGGAGTAGGCGCCATCCTAGTTTGCACACCAGTGTCCTGCTCAAGGGGAAACCAATAGAGCTATTTCAATTTTTTATTTATTATACATTACAACACCCATATACAAAATACCAAATATAAGTCATATCCTCCTAGTTTTTGTTCTCTATTTTGGCACGAAGTTATGGATTTGTATTGTAATCTACAGATCTTGTATTCGAATCCTGCTTTGTACCTTTTCGATTTTGGAATTTACAAAATGTCGAAAATTTACATTTATTTCTGTTAATTTAAAATACAACCAAAATTTAGTGTTTACAAAGCCAATTTTAAAATACGAAAAAACAATAAATCGCAAAATTGTGACTTATGATAGTTTACGTAGATGCCATTGTATGTTCCACTGCATCGATTCCTCATTCCTGAAGGTAGCTCTTACCTCCACTAACTTCATATTAAGAAAATTAAAATCAAAGTTTAGTATATTTTTGATTATTTTTTAGGCACTGTGAGATACGCATCTATCAATGCTCATAAAAACAAGGAGATGGGCAGACACGATGATCTCTGGTCGTTGTTCTATATGCTGGTTGAATTCGTCAACGGACAACTGCCTTGGAGGAAGATTAAAGATAAGGAACAGGTTTGTTTTTTATATTAACTACTAGTTGCGCGCGACTTCGCTTGTAATTAAAAATTAATAAAAAATCGCCTATGTTACTGATAACGTAGCTTACTAATGGTGGAAGAATTGTTGAAATCCAGTAGTTTTTAAACTTTTTCAATACATACAATAATACAAATCTTTCCTCTTTATAATATTTGTTAACTTACTTAAAATTTCTGGAATTAAATGTTTTAGAGACAGTCTAAATACTGTTTAATTCAACAATGTCCATTCTAACATAGATTTGTAAGACTACAAATATCCAATCATTGGCTCCTATGTAAATAATCATATCTCACTAATTCATTTTTCATTTAATTTAAGAAAATTATATTATCTGTATCAACAAAAAAAAATCAATATAATTTTGATTAGCACTATCAAGTAAACTGTAATATTTTTCTATAGAAATATTATAAAGAGGAAAGATTGTATTTTTATGTATTTTGTAATAACACAAAAACTGAGCTGATTTAAAAATTCTTACATAAAGCTACGTTATCAGTAACATAGGCTATATTTTTTATTGTTTTTTTAATCACACACAGGCGAATTCGCGAGCAATATATCTCATAAGGTGAAAAACCCATCGACCATACCACTGTATATTGCATTAAACAGAATCTAACGTATATCTGCAGGTGGGGCTGATGAAGGAGAAGTACGACTACCGCCTGCTGCTGAAGCATCTACCATCAGAGCTGCGTCAGTTCCTGGAGCACGTGCAGCAGCTGGAGTACGCGGACTCGCCGGACTACACCATGCTGACGTCACTGCTGGAGCGCTGCTGCAAGCGCCGCGGGATACGGGACTCCGACCCTTATGACTGGGAGAAGGATGTAAGTTCACTCACTAAGGCCTGTCCCACAAAATTGTAAATCGTCTAACAACCCAAAATGTGTTATGGAAATCGGATTTTTATTTTATCTGAGTGACGTTTTCTTTCTATCTGAGACTAAGCCAGTGGTGGGACAGGCCCTAAGAGACATTTACTTCAATTTTTTTAGTGCGTAAAAGGTGTTATATGATGACAGATAGTTATCTGAAGGATGAAAACCTAAGGGAGTAGGCTAAGGGGGGGGGGAGACTATAATGCTCCACTAATGAGCAAATAATTTAAATTGAGGTGAAGAAGAAAATATAAACGTAAACTACCGCTTGGTTGTATCACTTGATGGTTTTAATAGTGTGAGCCATGGACAAGTTACAGTTTTATTATTTCTGTAGTTTGTCCTACATTTAATAAAGTTTACTCTTAAATATTTTTGCTTAAATATTTGAAGTGTATTTTGGTGTGCAGGCTGTAACAGCGGCAGCGGGTGCGCGCGCACGGGCCGCACTAGCGCCCACCGAGCCCGCAGCCACGGAGCCAGACCACGCCCCCGACAGAGTGAGTACTCAAAACATACTAATAATGAACTGTTTTTTAAGTTACGATAAAAAATGCAATTTGACAAAAATATTACTTACTAACTTTCGTCCGCGACTCCGTCCACGTGGAATAAAAAAAAACAAAAGTGAGTAGCCTATGTGTTCTTCCAGACTATCCTCTACATCTATACTAAATTTCATTGAAATCCGTTTAGGCTACAAATTCTTCCATCTATCTAAACTATCGCATTTATAATATTATTATGGTTATTATGATGTAGTTCTCCGTCAATAACAATGGTATATACAGATTCTAAAATGTAGATGCTTATTTCTTTTATTTCAAAATCGTCTCTATTCCATTCGTAACAAGGTTCGTTATCCATTAGCAAGCGCGTGCTTATTTCCATCATTCCAAAATCGACTGTAATTCGTTGACATAAGGGTTCATTATCCATTAGCAGGCGCGTGCTTATTTCCATCATTCCAAAATCGACTTTAATTCGTTGACGTAAAGGTTCATTATCCATTAGCAGGCGCGCCGCCGGCTGGAGACGGAGGGCACGGCGGCGGTGGCGACGGACACGCACACGCACGCGCACAAGGAGAAGCGCGCGGCGCCCGCCAGCCCGCGCCACGCGCACGCGCACCCGCACAGCCCCGCCACGCACCACATCAACGGATACGTCAGTATACTGATACTGAATATTATTCAAAACATTTGTGACCCAATTATTCACCCCTTTAGATAGCGTGATACATGTAACCTATAGCAGAAGTGTAGTACATTTTAGTAAAAAAAATATTCAAATATATTCTGTGATTCCTGATATCCTACATATCTAAGAAATCTGTGTTCATGATTATATTGGTATGATCTAAATTACAATAACAAGTAGTTTCAAACTAATGGGGTTTACATTAGTATATTTTAAAGGGTCATGTTGGCAACGTAAATGTTGTGCCTACTCGCTGTTACACGTGCCGCCCTTGGATGCACCTCGCGGCACGTGTAACCTTGGATGACCGCGGCCGATTAACTAATAAAATCATGGCACGAGGCAGCAGTTATTGAGGTCGCGGCGAAATAATATAAAAAGTCAATATTAAACATATTCGATGTCCAGTATATTGAGAGCAATAAAGGCGTTAGTATCTCAGAGAAAAAGTTTTTATTTTATCATACAGTCCACTACAGGTCATAAAATGTCGATATATTAATTGTAAGTTACTAACATAATTTTGTATGCCCTCAGTCTGCGACGGATAAGGCGACGCCAGAAAAGGAAGCGGAAGTCAGAACTACGCCTGCGCCATCTCCCGACCGACATGTTAATAAGGTATCAATCTTAGATCATTGAACATGATTTATTTTGTTTATAAAATAATTTTTTTTAAGTATAATGATGTGATTATATTTGTGTGAGAGCGTCGGTGGCTCAGTGGTTTAAGCACTTGACTTGTAATCTACAGGTCGTAGGTTCGAATCCGCCATGTACCAATGTGATTTTCGATTTTTCGAATTTTTATATGTACACAATTTACCCGCCGTTCTTACGGTGAAGGAAAACATCGTGATGCAACCTGCGTGTAAACTCAACCCGCACTGGGCCAGCGTGGTTGACTATGGCCTATTCACCCCTTACTTAGGGTAGGCTCGAAGCCCCTCGGTGGGGACGTATAGTGAGCTGGTGTTGATGTTTGTGTTGCAGGAAAGTGGTGCTACAAGCGCGGCGGGCGGCGGGGGCGGTAGTGCGGGTAGCGGGGGCAGCGTGGCGACGCGCCCCGAGCGCCAGAGCGTGCCGCCCTGCAGACCCAGGCCGCCGCCCCTCGGTACGTACTGCACGTATAGTACCTACTCTTAAGAAGAAAATCAGTACTACACTGAATGATGAGCGAACACTAGAACATATTGGCACATCCCATCCCTATGACATCTGTCAATGTCATTCAGACGTTACAATAGCGCGCCAATCTGGCGGTAGGCAGTGTTCTGAGTGTTTAAGTTACGTTGTTACAATTAATGTCTAATAGTACGTACTGTATTTTTTTTTATAACACAAGGTGACAAACGAGCAAGCGGCCACCTAAATCCGCCAAAACGGCGAAGCGACCGCTGCCCATAGACATCCGCAATTGCAGATGCGTTGCCTACCCTTATCCGACGGAGGAGGAGACGCACATAAAGAGGATGTTTCCCTTCCTACGCGTCTCCTCCAGCGTCGAATCCACTTCCCCTTCCCATACTCTCCTTATAAGAATAGGGTGGTGAAGAGAAAGGGACTTCAATTAGGCCTTCGGGACCACACTCATCAGACGAAACACGGAATTGTTTCCATTTCACAACTGTCTTCTGTGTGGTCGTGGTATTACTGGGGGCGTGCTAAGATGTTAAAGCGGGCACTACCACTGTATGTACATAATTTGCGAACTGTACGCATTATGACGTATAACTGTTATTTTATAATACATTATTTAAATGTATTGTACAGCTGGTGGTCCGACGTTGGCCCGCCTCCGCGTGGTGACGGCGCCGCCCACGTGTGTGCAAGAACTAGCGCATGCGCCCTCGCCTTCCCTGCAGGGAGACGCTGTCAGCCCGCGCATCATAGCTGACGTGGACAGCGTGCATTCTGATACACATTTCAAGAGAGGTAGACAAATATATTGATATTATAAAGAGGAAAAATTTGGAATTTTGTATGGATTGAAATAACTCAACTACTGGGTCGATTTCAAAAGTTCACCATTTAAAAGCTATGTTATCAGTGATATAGGCTGTTTTTTATTATTTGTTTAATTTCACGTAGACGAAGTCGCGAGCAACAGCTAGTCTAATAGAAAAGGTAATGGTTGTATATTTGAAATGAATGTGCTCTGAAACAACTGTCTATATAGAGTCTGTATCTGTTAAAAAAATAATATTTTATAAACAACGCAGAAAGAAAAGTTTTGTACGTCTTTCTGTCCATATTTGTTCCGGATAACTTGACGGAACTTTGATTTGACGGTAGCTCATGTATACAAGAATGTGGTTACTTTTTTATTCCGTTCTAACAAATACCGATAGTTTTTAAAATACTTGTAAAAGTCTTGTATAAAGTTTTGTATTTGTTTGTATAAGGTGGCCGTAGGACAGCAAGAGCTCGTGCTGACCAGAGCTACACTCAGTTCGCAGTTATGGATGATGACAATGTGTCTGCATTGCAACAGGTTAGCCTTTTTAATATTTTAATATGGTAGAAACACCTAAACAAGCAAACAGTCTACATTTCGCTAAAATAGCGAAATGACCGTTAAAGACAGTCCAACGACTTAAAAGGTTATGTCGCCTACAGAAAGAGACGTCCTCTCTTCTGCCAAATCCGCTTTATCTTTCCCTTTATTATAAGAAATGGGTAGAAAGCAAAAGCATTAACAGGTGGGAGGGTAGGGGCGAGGGTAGAGACGCCAAATATGTAAAATAGATATAAAAATTACTAAGAATAAGACCTTATTCATTTTAGTTTCTCACGCAGACCTAGCTTAGATCCCATAATAAGACGGGGAAGATATTTTTCACTGAAATATTTAATGTAATCTTATTTGACAATGTATTTATAATATTACAGATGACGAAGGGAGGTGCGTTGACTCTGGTCTCGCTTTGGAAGTCGCAGTTCGACGACTCTGAGGAGACCACAGATAACGAGTGGAAACAGGAGCAGCTGCAGGTATATAAACACGTATGTACGTCCTCACAACACATACATACTATCTACTTGGTAATGAGTTATATAGCGTACCGTGACTTCGTCCGCGAAATAAAAAAAACTACATATGTGATAAATTTCGTCGAAATCTGTTTAACGTTGTAAATATATCAAAGTAAGAAATATCTATCCACCCAAATTTTCTCATTTATGATATTAGTATGATGTACAATAATATAGATAGGTAACAAGTCAATTTAGGTCTAACCAATAGTGAAGTCTTGAATGGCCTTATTTCATAATTTCTCTAAGTTTTCGGCTTTTGTAAATAAAAGCCAAAAGGTTATTCTACGCGCTTTACCAAACCACATATAAAATTCTTAAACCATAATTAAAATCTTTTTATCTGGGGTTACTGTCAAACTTTCTCTTATGTACAAATTTCATATCTTTTCCATTCGTGTTTGTTGAGTATCTGCAAGGAACAAGGCAATATTATTTTGGTACACCGCGTATTTCCCCGACTTTTCCCCTAACAAAATGTTTATGGCCTTTTTGTCCTTTTTTCCCTTCAACTTTAACATCTTTGTCTAATATTACTCAACAGTCGCCAGAGCACCGTGGCGGGCGAGCGACGAGCGCGGTGTCGAGCTGCTCCAACGCAGCGCGCACGCAGCTGCCCGCCACGCACACGCAGCACACGCAGCACACGCAGCCCTCGCTGCCCACCCCGCCCACGCAGCAGCCGGCACCGCCCTCCCCCAGCAAACCAACACACAACCAGGTAACATCATTGTAACATTTCGAGTATTCCGTCACATAACCTACCGGTTTAAAAAAAATAAATTGTAAGCTAGCTAATTTTACATATATATTTGTCGGGAATAATAATCGATTCTAATCGCAATCAATCGATTATCATTGGAATGATACTCCAATGATAATCGATTAGAATTAGAACTTTGACGACGATATATTTTTTTCTAGTAGGAAAGATCCCCTATATTCAATCTGAACATCTTAATTATATATTGAAAAATGCTAATATTTATTCCATTTCTAATAATAATAATATGGATATATATTAACAAAACCTAATTTAAAAATTATGTTAATATAATCCTAACCTTTATCCATACCATTATATTTATAGCATGTCAATATAAATATGATTAAAATATCAATTTTTCGTCCCTAAATGTCCCACTAACGACAGATAACACTAAACTAAGCATTACACACAACATACAAATATGTGGGAAATTGTGCAAGAATTAGTTCCAACGACTTCTCCGGCGGCACGAGAAGCGTAATCAGGTATATTTATATGAGCAACTGTGATAAATCTTTGGATTTACCGTAGGCTTCCACTGCTGAAACAGGTCATCCTACTCACTCTCTTAGAAAATAAAGAACAATATGTGCACAGATGCAGTGGAAGTCCACGGTTAGTCTGAATACATATTTGCATTACATTATTTATAATAAGAATAAAATCGAGTTTCCGTAGAATTTGTTTTGTATTTTCAAGTGAATTAATTTTTCGTTTATCGAATCAGGTAGAAGTAGTGGAGAAAGTTGAAAAGGTTGAGAAAACAGAGAAGACGAAGAACGACGCGAAGGTCCGTTGCTGTTTGCACAGCGCCGGTATTGACGCCTTCCCGCACTTGCGGCCCACACTGCCGCGCAGCTGGACATTGCCTGCTATTGGTATATATCTTACTAATATTATAAATACGAAAGTTTGGATGAATGGATGGATGGATGTTTGTTAGAGTTTGTAGTCTAAACTGCTGAATGGATCTCGAAGTTGTTTTTGTTCTACGCAGACTAGGTCGCGGGAGAAAGCTAGTTTCATAACCCTATCATGACAAACTAGAAACAGAAATTTAAAAAGGACGGATAGGAGTGGATGTGAAATAATGGAAGGGAAAATATCCCCTTTCTGTGCGTCCACCCCTTTGAGTAAAAGTACAGAATTTGCGGATGTTTTTGAGTAGCGGTTGTCTCTTAATTCGGCAAATTCAAGTCGTTATTTGCTCGTTTGAAAGTGATTATATTCAAAATGGAGATTTATTATTTATTTTTTTATAGTTTTTTGCTTGAAATTCTCGTAAATGTAGTAATGTTACCTAGGTTCCCGTGTGAGGTCACTCCGTCCGCCGCTGCTGCAGCAGGCGTCGTTCGACGGCGGCGCGGCGGGCGCGCTGCGCTACCGGCTGGACGTGATGCGCGGCGTGGCGGCGCGCAGCGACGGACCCTCGCCTGAACCCTCGCCGCCCAGAGCTGCCAGTTTACCAGTAAGTATCTATCCAGCTTGAAGGACCAACATGTGACGAGTATTTAGTTTCTATTTAATTTAACAGGAAAGTTGATAAAATGACATATTTAGAAACTATCTGTAGTTTTCATTCACACTTTATTAAGTGTATTACAGATAGTTAAAACAGAACAAAAGTATTTATATTTTCATATGACAGCGTTTTTATATCGCACAGTGTGGCATTTTAAGCGCTGGATATATGAGCGTATGATTTAGAGCGTTAAAAAAACGCGCGTGTTAATATTTGCTTAAAATTTGCTCAGCTTTTTCAACCTTAAATGTTAGTTCCTAATTTTTTCAGGAAATTGCATGTAATAGAATGTATTAAAATAAAATTATGGCACTAGGATGTGTCGCGGTCCGGCAGCGGGTCGGCGTCAGACCGCGGCGGAGCGCGCGCGCGGCCGGCGGAGCGCACCGTGTCCAGCCGGCTGGAGATACGCGTGCGCGCCACGCCGGAGCCGCACGGCTCGCCCGCGCACGCCGGCACACAAGGTACTCACTTCTACTTGCACTATGTACAGGGCAGTAGTGCTATGGTTTAAACAGACTAAGGGTCTTTACACACTTCACAATGTTTCAATACAATTTATTTATTTATGTAGGATTGCTAACAAAATATGTTAATACCGATACAGTGGTTGAATTTTAGTTAAAAAAGGCAAATACATTCAAAGAAAAAATTTGACAAGTTTCGTTACATGTTAAAGTAAACCTACTTAATAATAACTATTTCTATCACAGTCATTACACTAAGAGAGTAAAGTATAGAAGGTTATTATAAAAAACAATATAAATGCGAGTTTGGATGGATCGATGGATGGATGTTACTACGTATCCGCATAACACATAGGCTGCTTACTATTTTTTTTTTAATTTCGTGCAAACCCACTATGCTTACCTCATGTTAAATGAATACGGCTTGAAGGACCATATCTAATCTTAGTTTTTGTAGGCGATCCCTAACTGAATTTTAAAAAATAATAATTGATAGCAAATATATTCTAGGATATAGTTCTATGTCTATGCCAAATTTCATCGAGATCTATCAAACCATTCTGAATATACGTTGGAAAAAACATCCATCTAACTAAATTTTCGTATTTATAACATTAATAAAATAAAATTATTTTATTTTAGTAAATTATAATCTTTCTTGTTACTATTTTTCAGTGCGTATCCACTCAGTGGTGACAGGCGGGGAGCCGGTGCGACTGAACCATGAAGAGGCGTCCGTCTATTACGATGCTACTGAGCACCAGCGGGCCCCCCCCCCCCCATATACCCTACCTTTTCCCCTTTTATCTTTACGTACTACGGGGAATCCTCTTTTTATTTGTAAAAAAATCTCTATATTCATTCTTCAGCTTTTGCTACTGACTCCGTCCATGGAGAATTAAAAATAGTAAATGTAGTAATAGTAAATTATGAATGCGAGGTACAGAGCAGGTTGGAAGAATGGCGGGTTAAATTGGAGGGAGCTGGTCTTAAAATCAGCAGGACCAAAACTGAACATTTGTTTTGCGATTTTGGCGGTCCGACCAGCTTCTCTCCAATCGCCTTAAATGGTGTGCCTCTACCAACCTGCTCCGACTTTAAGTACCTCGGTTCTCTAGTCCAGTCCGACGGTGGCGTTGACCGAGACGTAAAAAGCCGAATAAATGCAGGTTGGATGAAATGGCGACAGGTTACTGGTGTGACTTGTGATCCAAGAATGCCTCTTAGGCTTAAGGGACAGATCTACAAGTCCATCATAAGACCTGTCGTATTGTATGGATCTGAATGCTGGGCCACCAAAGTTGCGGATGAAAGGAGATTGCATGTGGCTGAGATGCGTATGTTAAGATGGATGTGTGGTGTGACAAGATTGGATAAAGTTAAGAATGTGTACATTAGAGGAAGTTTGAAAGTAGCGCCAGTGGTGGAGAAATTGAGAAGCAAAAGGTTAGCGTGGTATGGACATGTTATGCGACGAAATGATGGGGACATAAACCAGAAAGTGTTGAGATTGAATGTGGATGGCTACAAAGGAAGAGGAAGACCGAAGAAAGTATGGATGGATTGTGTGAAGGAAGATATGCTTAAGAAAGGAGTGGATTCAGATATGACGGCTGATAGAGATTTATGGAAGAGCAGCACATACTGTGCCGACCCTCCATAAGGGATAAGGGCAAGTGGATGATGATCTTACTCGAAGACAACGTAGCCATTTATCGGTGAAATAATTTTAAAATTCGGCCTAGTAGTTTAAGACTTATTTCTATTCATACAAAAATCTAGAAATATAAATATTTCCCCATCATAATTAATATAAATAAAGAGATGTATTTTTAAGACCTGTTTATTGTTTGTTTTTTCAGATCTTCAACACGCAGCGTAGACAAAAGTCAAAGCCCCGCGGCTGTAGAGAGGACACGACTTGATGCGATACAAGACAGGTAAACGTAATATTATTTTAATACTAACTGCTGTAGGATTTTACATTTAAAAAATAATGTAGAAACGTAATGTAAACGTAATGTGGAAGGGTACATCGGTAGAGGTAGACCTAGAAAGAGATGGATGGATTGCGTGAAAGGTGACATGATCAAGGGAGTGATGACTGAGATGACGGATGATAGAGTTATTTGGAGGACAAAAACCTGTTGCGCCGACCCTACGGGAGTAGGATAAGGAGATGATGATGATGATGATGATGTAGAAATGTATGGAAATATACGTGAACTAGATATTTAAAAAAATAATAGCTTATCTGTTCTAGACTGTTTTACATCTATGTCCAATTTCAACTAGATCCGTTGAGCCATTCAGGAGATAGATATTATGTAGTAAAAGGTCCATCCATCCGTAGCGTATCTATAATATTAGTAAATTAGTAAATAAATCAGTAAAGTAAAGTAAGATTGTTCAATTTCCAGAAGCAGTTCAGTAACACGACGCGAAGTTAATGCAGCTGGTGACAGTTCTCACAGCCTTAGAGATGTAAGTACAAATAAAAATTCGAATTAATTACTAGCATTAATTGAATTTTAGTTCATTTGATTTAAAAAAAAAATTAGGGTGATCCATATTATTATTAGGGTTTTTTTTTAAAGCACACGGTACTAGTATACATGTTGTATACTAGCTGCTCTCGACTTCGCCCATGTGAATTTAAAAAATAACAAATATTACTTATGTTATTCACTGATAACATAACTTTTTAATGGTGAAAGTATTTTGGCAATCGGCCGAGTAGTTTTTGAGTTATTTGAATACAAAAATACAAATATTTCCTTTTTATAATATTAGTATAGATATAGATTATATTTAATGTTTCAGCGATCTACATCTCGTATTCCTGTGGCGACGGGTGCTGCGGTGGGTGCAGGGGGTGCAGGGGGCGCGGCTGGGGGTGCAGGCGGTGGGTGCGGGGGGTGCGGCGAGGCGCGCGGCGGGCGGCTAGCCAAGTGCGCCTCCTGGAGTGGCGATGGACCATTGTCGCCATCCCCAGACCCCAATGACCTCACGCCAGGTAACAAATAATAATGTAGTCAGAGAATTAAATTTACTACCCACTTGAATCTGTAATTTAGCATCTATGTTGGCTAAATGGGAAGGATACAAACGTCTTTGAATATTTGATATAAAAAATTACAGTGAATAAAAATTCTTAAAATATTTAACTGCTTAGAATTTATCCGAGTATAAGCAAAATTTGTGCCAACATTTGCTTATATTCAATTTATTCCTAAGTTTAAGTTTTACCGCGTTTATTTGTAAAGCTATAAGGGTTTAGTATTAAAATGTATGATCTTTTTTACTATCTAGCTCTGCGCAGACGTCGTCAGAACGCCAATGACAAGTACGCGGTGGACCCCGCGCGGGAATTGAACCTGAGATTCGCGCGCCCGAGGCACCGCCAGCCGCCGCAGCCGCACACCAGGTATTTATATAAATATATACACAAATATCTTATTAACTCGGAATGGAACAATGTACGTATGTCGATATATTAACTCATCTGCGTTTAACCTTTTATGTATATGTTGTAATCAGAAGAAGAAATCAATTTGAATTTAAGTCATAATTAGAACACGAGCGCTGCCAAGGGACTTTCGTGATTACAAGGACAACTTAGATTATTCTGAAAATAGGGATTGTTGCGAGAACATTGTTCGAACGATATGAGCTTGGTAGATTGATGATATCACATATGACATATATAGGTTTATCTATTAGGTTTTGTCGCTACTCCGTTCGCGTGGAATTAAAATAAACACTGAAATATCGTATGCATTCTTCTAAACTATGTTCTATGTCTATGCCAAACTACATCGAGATTTGAAAGCTGTTTTGAAGATGTTTTCTAACAGTCATCTCATTTATAATATTAGTAGTAGTTAGTATAGTCTTGAAGAACACATATGTACTCACGGAAGGAGTCACGGGCGAAAGCTAGTATATAAATAATTAAATAATGTATGTGTACAGTAGGAGCGGCGCGCGCGGCGTGCCGGCGCTGCTGCTGTCGTCTCCGCCGGCGTCGGGCTCCGCCGCGTCCGGCGCCTCGGGCTCCTCCTCCTCCGGCTCCCCGCCGCCCGCGCCGCCGCCCGCCGCCGCGCCCCCGCACAACGCCGCGCGCGCGCGCCGCTTCAGGCCGCTCTCGATCGCACCATAGGTACACATACTTTGTCTTTTTATTATTTACAAAGACATGAAAGGATTGAGTAAAAGGTGACGTGATCAAAAAAGAGTTATGACTGAAATGACTTTTTTTATATATTATAAGTTAGCAAACGAATAAGCGGCCACCTGAATCCACCGAAATGGAAAGCGACCGCTGCCCATAGACATCGGCAATTGTAGATGCGTTGCCTACCCTTAATCGACGAAGACGCACAGGATATTTCCCCTTCCTATGTGACTTCTCCGAGGTCAAATCCACTTTCCTTCCCATCCTTTCCTCTTAAAAAAAGACGGAAAGGAAAAGGAACTAAAATCAGCCCTCCGACGCGATTGCATTTCACAGAGAGGGAAACAAGGGAAAAATATATCTTATCACGGCGTCCTTTTCCCTGTCGAACATTGGTAGACAACGAATCTGCACATGCAGATATCTATGGGCAAAGATCTGGCCATTTTGCTATAAAAAGTATCTGTTTTCAAACAGGTGATTCCGCAGTGAAAACTCACGGTTGCAGATGTCACAAAGACACTACCAGAATTTAATTTCTTTACACTGATTCCGTTATTTCCTTTTACTAACAAAATTCATTTAACAGTTACAATTAATAATTTATTAATAATGTAAATAATGAAACATTGAAAGCCATTATGAAAATGTTACCCTCTAAATTTCGAAATTTATTACTCTATGCACCTTGTATGAATTAAATTGAAAAGGAAAATTGGGGTTTTTTCTCGTAGGGCCGTTCTGCCCTCGATTGACGATTGATTCTATTTATCTAATGGGGGAAAGATTCAATATGGATATATTGAATCTTTACCTTAATCTTTACCAGAATAGTCATCCTATTGGATAATAGGATGACTATTCTGGTCTTATCCCTTAGTGTTGAAATTATATTATAGATAAAAAAATCAAGTCATTCTTGACTAAATATTATGACAGAGAATATTTTAGATTAAAAACAGAAATTCCAAGGAGTATTTCAACATATAAGCCAATAGGCCTAAGGGACAATACCAAAAAAATAGTTATCCAAATTTATTTGACTCTTTTTTTCGATATTTGACGATTTTTTTCTTATCTTCCAGGAGACGGCCACCGGCTGTGACGTCACAGTTGAGAATCCTTTCTAAGATGGCCGAGACACGTCCGCAAAAACTGTTGGAATACTCTAAATATATTATATTTTCGCAAATCAAGTCTACGCCGCGGTGAGTACGAGAGACATTATGTACATGTATAGTGCTACAAAATTATCTGGCTCATAGGATGGTTAGAATAGGGCGGGCGTCCGCCCAGGGCACTGGATAGTAAAGGGCGTCAAAGTCAGTGAATTACAGTCCCCTAAGCCTGTTAACCTCCCTCCCTCCCCTTCCCCCAAAGGTAAAAAGGGCGAGCAGTACAAATTTCGACCAGGGCGTTGGTAACACTAGAAGCAATACTGCCTCAAGGAAAGTCACTTGTCTTGTTAGTTTTGTCATATGTAAAATCTATTTAGGCATAGACAAAATAGTCTAGAAATTTGTTATTTTTGCCGCTGGCAGGACTGCACTGCTATTGTAACCGGGTCGGATAAGTTAGTCGGACTATTAAAATGTATGTACAGTCTAAGAAATCATATCCCACACACTCAATGCTACGCCAAATGTCAATTGTTTTGAAAAAATGTTAAAAAATATGCATTTTGCTTATTGAAATATTACTGTGATTTTTTTTAAAAAATAATAAAAAATGTTAAAAATATAACACTATAGTACAAATTGTTATCGAGTGACAGAAAAAAACGCTTAAAAATGTGTTCCAATGCACATATCTGAGTGTAAATTACCGTAAAGGTGAAGCCACACTAAAGTTGATTATTTAAAATGTTAATTTTTCTAACATTTTCATCTAAAAAAAATATAAACACTTCAGTGTGGCCTCGCCCTAAGGATTTAGTCGATTGAATTTCTTAGACCGTGCGTACAAACGGGGAAAATATTCAAAAATATGTAATTATCGATTTTTTAAATCATTGCTTATATTAAGCCAAAAGTATATAATTATTTTTATATGCCCACAAATACCTTCGAAGCCACATTGTATATTTCCGGAAGAGAAATATATTTTTGGCTTAGTATTGAATTCTGGAGTGCTAGGCTATTTACCTTATTGTTTATAAGGAATTTAATAGCGTTATTCGATTTTGCTATTTCCCTCGGCATAGAAAGCAAATGGGAATGTTCCAACGATTTTTAATAAAAAAAAACATGTTAAACGTCACTTTTTAATACAAATTGTGGTCTTAAATGTGTTAAAATCAATGCAATAAAATTTCTCTTGTGCTTTCTATATCGTGAGATTAAGGGCCTGTCCCACCAAATAGTAAATTGTGTAATAACAGACTAACGTGTAAAATGTGATGGAAATATCGGATTTTGTTGCTTTATCTGACAGTGACGTCATTTTTAAGCTATCTGAGCTAGCCAGTGGTGGGACAGGCCCTAAGTTTCGTACCTTAAGGTGCTTATTGTGAATAAAATTTCTTAGATCTCTTGTTAGATAGAACTTGCCTTTTTAAATCTAATTGACAGATAGTCGTTTGTTGAAGTTTGAACGAGTTTGTTTGATACAAATTTGTTACAGCTTATAGATAATGGCTGATATCGATTAAAAAATAGTGAGCGGGAAAGATATATTGTGCTGTGTTGTTAAAAATTCAGCCTTGAGAAATGTTGTTAAAATCTTCGATTATTTTTATTTGCACGTAAAAGGCGTTGCCTAAAGGCATTCTCTACAAATTCATTGTATTTTTTTCATGTTATCCATCAAAATTTATTATTTATTTCATTTTTTAATATAGTTTATTGTTTTGTCATGATGCACGAGTATTTTTTATTAAAAAAAAAAGTCAAAAAGAAGTCCATTTTTGGGTTAAATTATTTACATTGCTGTTTTCCTTCAAAATACGTAAGATGAGTGAAACGATTTGAAAGCTTATGTGATGTTTAAGATTGTTCTAAGTTGACACTTTATCAAATATAGATTATAGAAAATATGTAACAACAAATTGTGCTTGGTGATGAAATTATTTCGTGAAGATTTATTTATTAATTAACGAGCTTCTGTTATTTTTTTAAAAAATGATATCATATTGTAAATATTTTTCAAAAAATATTGCAATATTCTATGCATGATATAAAAATAGTATGGTACATTATCATCTTCAAAATTAGATATTTTATGAAATGACTGTATTAATTGATATTGTACATTATTCTATTTAACGTTTTGTGATTGCTTCTATAATTTTTTTAGTCTTTGTAATTACAGTTTTAACATATGGCAACACTCGTTGTTGGTGTCAAATTATAGGTTACTATTTATTATGTATGGTAAAAAGTCTCGCTAGCATTTACTGCCCAAAATGGCTTTGTTATTTATTTCTATGCATGATTAATATTTTTTATTTTGAATTATAAATACTTGCGTTTAAACATGAAGATTGTACATATACTTTTATTTAATCTGTTCTTTCATACTGGCAACATTTTTCGATATCAAATTACTTAATAATTACCAATTTCATAATGCTTTTATCAGTCTAGATTTTCTACTTCTTTAGACCCTTAAGAAAGCAATAAAAACTAAATGCTATGCCACCAATTAGAACATAATTGTACATAAGTCACGATCATATTTGCAAAATATCTTGTGCTGTGCGGAATACCTTATTTTCTGTTTAATTTTACATATGTGAAAGAAAAAAACTACATTAAAATAGAACTATACTAGACTACATTTTATACAGAACATAGGTAATAAAATATCCCAATTTATCCACATAATATTCGTTAATACACAGATAATAGTTATGTGGGTTGCCATCATTTTCTCTAATTCTGGCCTAGTACAAAAATTTGCAAAAGAACTTGTAGTCATCGACATTTGTACAAGATTTATGCAGCGCTCTTATCGGGCCTAAAGTACACAAATATGTTCTTGCAAATTTTCGTGTCGGACCTCTTATACCTATTTTTCTGTTGGATGTTTGGCAATTTATAAGTACCCACGTTTAGAAGACATTAGTGTCCATGGATTTGGACGTTATTAACGCTAGCAGCTTTACAAATAAACGCGGTATAAAGTTAAACTTAGGAATAAACTGAGTATAAGCAAAATTTGTACTAATATTTGCGTTTGTTTGTAAAGCTGTAGATCTTTATCTAAAATGAAGGCAGAGACTTATCGTTTTACTTTGTGATACTCAAATTATGTACCAATGTAGTTGAATATTGAACCTATAATCATGTAAATGTAGAGAATGTGCTTCTTACTTACTGCTTTAAATTACTTTGGTAATTAATTAAAACTTTGCTCTCTTTTTTTATATAATTATAATTGAGATATGAACGAATAAGTTCCAATATCGAGGCTGCTCCATACAAATGTATAAATATTAAATGAATTAAAAAAAATCGTTATGTAGACGCCATTATGAAACTCTAGTCTTTCGCTGCTTAGTGAATAGTAATGTTGTATGTAATAATTATATACTGATTAATTAAAAATATCTAGAATTAAGTATTATGATATTACAAGAGTTGGTGCGGTATGTACGTGAATCGGAACGTTTTAACTTTGACAGAGCAAATAGTGTTGCAATATGAAAAATCAAAGTTGAAGCGTCCGGTGCAGGTGTGGTGATTTAAATTTCTTGGGAAATCGCCGTGTATGGTTTTCGAAGAGAAATCAGTTAACAGCCGAAGGTGTTTGTATTGTTTTCTTCTTATTATAATACTTATATAGCTTTCGACAGCTGTGCACGGGAGTTCCGGAACTCATTCTAGTCTACGAACGGCTTCCGTCTCATAGATATATCGAAGGGAAAAAGGAAAAAATGAGACAGTTATTTTTGTCAGAGAAAATAAAAATTATGTAAAAGTTGTTATTAATTGTAAGCCCTTTTAAATTGTCTTGAGGAAGTAAGCCGCGCTTGAGGCGAGGCGTGTTGCAGCGGGCTGTTTGTTGCGGCGATGCGCTGATTTTTTTTTAAAGAATGCACGCTCGATTATGTTTTATTTTGCCATATTTTTTTATATTTACCGAAATATGCACAATGAAATTTAAATAAAAGGTATTTGTCCTTATCGGTGTTTTATTTATTTTAACTCTTTTTCACTGTGGATAGAACTAAGAATGTCCAATATATTTTTAAAGCGGGCGCACACCTTTGACTATCGCACAACTGTAGTGCGATTGTCGATGGTTTCGCAGCCAATTTAACTGTTTAGTTGCACAGCTAAACATCGAGTAGTGTACGCACCTACACCCAGCGAGGCTAAACAGCTCTTATTGGAAATTAAATTAATTTCATCAGAAGGGAATTTCAAACGATATTTACCCAGAGCCAAAGATATATCCAGGTAGAACAAATGGCCACCACTAATGTCTAATCTCATCCTTCACTTATAACAATGTCAAGGATGAGAGAGTTTTGATAATTAAAATCTTGAGAGCAATTTGCAGTGACACTGGTGTTGCTAATGTCCATAGGTGCCTATGACCACCTTGGTATTTCCACCGCACATTTGCTCCCATCTATTAAAAAAACTTCAATATGACACTATTTCTTAAATTCAGTAAATGTTTGCAATATTATAAACTTGGACGAAAGACTCGGGATCTACATCAAAAAAAAGTTAACATGACAGCTGTCAATGCCCACTTTCTGTCATCTGTCAATCAATTTGTTGATATGAAAAATTGATAAATGAAAATATTGGAATATTAATAACGAAAAATGTACACAGAAGTGGATGTATTTGTCAGTAATTTTACTCTCATTGATCCTGAAATATATCAACTATGGATTGAGGGTTGTTCATGTAAGTTTCTTTTTAAATCAAGGTTATATACCATTACATATTTCACACGACTTGCAAAACTCCATAAAAATCTCTTGTTTGTTACTTTCATCTATTAAAAAAGGTTTTATGAAACTTTTGATCTCTTTCTGAATATTTAAATAAAGTCTCTAATTCATTACAAAGTAGAAAAAAGATAATTTCGTATCTAAACCTGAGTATATGAATGTTCTTTAATTCTAAACTGTTCTCACTATAGCTAGTGAAGCAGTATCGACTCTACACAAACGGTCAGCTGAGAAACAAACGGGAGCTACAGTTGAACTTATAGCCAGTGATGTGTTGGATCACTACAGGTAAATTAACTAATCTTTTATTGAGATCATGTCAAAGATACAATAATTTTAAATACATATCAATTTTCTTACAGAACCTTTGCCTTACTTGAACGGCTGCTGACAGTCCCGTCAAAACTATCTGAGCAGATGATTTTCCAGATTGATGAGCCTACAAAGCAGATGCTTATTGAGAAGTAAGAATAATAGATACAGCCTATAATACTCAGTAATAACAGAGCTTTTTTCGAAATTAGCCCAGTATTTATATGAGTTATTTCAATACATACAAAAATACAAATTTTTCTTCTTTATAATAGTATAGATAAGCAAAAGCTAGGGAATTCATCCGCATTCATTACTTACTGTTTTACGTTGATACCTTGATTATGACCACCACCAAAAGCCCAATGTAGATACTTAAGAATTCAATATAGTGCAGCCTATTTTAATCTTGCAGATACTATGACTTAGATGATGCAGTTATTAGAGAACTACTTGGTCGGAAGTTATCATCAAGACATAGAAAGGATTTAGATGAGGTTAGTGTATTTTAGCTCAAAATTCCTAGAGACTTTTGTTACTGACAGAGCCGATATGGTCATAAATGCAATTTGCAAAATTGCCTAATCTAAATATAGCATATATCTTGTAGATTGTTTAAGTGCGGACAATTTTATAACTTTTATAGGTAGCAGAGAGATCAGGTGCACCGCTACGCTGCTGTCGACGACAGTTTGATAATGTGCGAAGAGTCTTTAAAGCTGTTGAAGAAATGCCAGGCAATGTGGTGGCGAATATTCGAAACACCTTCCTTATATCAGAGCCTCTAGCCAGGTATAATTTTTAAGAGTGTTTTAGTCTATATTTTTAGCTTTATGTGTATACCTATAAAATGATGATTATTTTCATAGGAAATATGGTGCGGTTGTATTCATAGCGTGTATGCGTTTCGAGACCGGCAAGCGTAAGCTGCAGTACCTCTCATTTAACGACTTCTTCCACTGTGCACAGGTAACTTATAAACAATTTCATTGAGATTAGTATGCTAACGGCCAAATTCTGAAACAAATTACACTTTGATTCGTAAGTGCGGCTTATAATCTGTTAGACGTTAAGTTTAATGGAATTTATGGTAGAAGTTGGCCGTAGATATACCTACTATTTAAATTCGGAAAGTCAATAAAACATCATACATAATTAAATCTAGGTATCTCAGATTGTTTGAACTTTTATTTGCTAATGCTACCAGATCTAATTAAGTTTCATACCATGTCTTGTTGAGTACCAGGTCTTATTCTGTACCATACCAAATCTAAAAAACCGTACCCGATCTAATCGTGTACCGTGCTTATTCTTATTGTGTACTGCATATGTTGTCAGTAATACCAGATATAATATATACCATACCATGTCTTGTTGTGTACCAAATCTTATTCTGTACCATACCAAATCTGAAAGTGGACCGTACCTGTTCTAATTGTGTACCATACTAATTCTTATTGTGTACTGTATCTTTTATGTGTATATGTTATCAGGCTATAATGGGTAGCTGGACGTACAGCTGCACAGGGCCGGAGTACTACGACACGGAGATGGACCGCGAGTTCCTGCTGGAGCTGCGAGAGCTTCGGCTGCTGTTGGATAAGGAGAAGGAGCATAAACACCTCGTCTGCATGCGGCTCAGACCTAAGCTACTCGATAAGTCGTACCAAGAATTGGAACTTAACTTCAGGTTGTCCGGAGAGTGTACTCGAGAAATGAAATTGTCCTATAATCTTTTAATGTTTCTTTTTATACCACTTTATGTAATTATGTTACTGAATTTAGATTTTAATCACACTGATGAAAATGTTCGTTTGTCTATACTAATATTATAAAGAGGAAAGATTTTTATTTTTGTATGTATTGAAATAACTCAAAAACTACTGGACCGATTTAGAAAATTCTTTCACCGTTAGAAAGGTAATTTATCTGTGAGTGACATAGACTGTGTTTTTTATTGTTTTTTAATATCACGCGGGCGAAGTCGCGAGCAACAGCTATGTTTCATAATTTTGATATTTCTTGCAGATTGTACACGCGTGCTTTGGTAGGCGTGGCGTGCAATTTGCACCGCGGACGCGAACTTCGCTCTCTGTTTATTGACCTTTTAGAGCGGTAAGTATTATTCTAATTAACTTTTGTTAATGTATTACTATTGTAACTACAACAAATTGTTGGTATTTTAGATGTATAGAGCCATTGCGGCTAGGCTGCTGGCCCAAGACGGACCTTGCGCAGTTCTTGTGCGCTTACGAGCAATGCGCATTGCAGATGGATGTTCTAAGGTATTAACTGGACTGTATACATTTAATGCTGCGTAATCTTACTTATTTTACTTAAATTAGTTTTTTCATTAAAAATCTAATAATAAATATAGCATAATTTTTAAAATCGACCTAATATTTTTTGAGTTTATATGTTACATCAAATAAATCTTTTTTTGTTAATGTTTTTCAGGGAAGCAGATTTAAAGAGTGTATGGGAGAGGTACATGCGAGTCGTTAGTCAATGTTTGCTCACAATGTACCATATTTAAGTTAATTTGAAGAATATAAATATTCCTCTGTTTTTGTCCAAAGATAGCAATGTTTTCATATAGACAAATGGAAACCTACAGATACAACTAAAATCTTCATATTGAAATTTCCTGCTTTGTGTTGTTTGCTATGTGATGTCATGCACTTTTTCAAAGAAAATTTATTTAATTTAATTGTTAATATTACTACTATATTGTAAAATATTGGAAGTATTTATAAAGATTTTAAAAATTAAATGAGTTAATTATTCACTTTTTATTTTTTACAATTCCTATATATTTGAGTGTTTTAAAAAAAACAAATGCGTAGAAACAAATATTTTTCATTACTTAAAACAAAATAACATTAATACTCTAATATTTACAATTTTTTCAACAACTAAAGATATTGGTTGAGAAATGAGTTAAATTACAATTTTAATGTTATAGACACATTTCTAATTGCCTTAAAGTCCTAAGGAACTTAATTAAAAGTACAATTATTTGTTACTAGTCTAGATGTGCCATTGCTATAAGTCTAGATGTGCCATTGGTACAAGTCTAGATGTGCCATTGGTACAAGTCTAGATGTGCCATTAGTACAAGTCTAGATGTGCCATTGGTACAAGTCTAGATGTGCCATTGGTACAAGTTCAGATGTGCCATTGGTACAAGTTTCGACTTCTTGTAGGTACAAGTCTAGATGTGCCGCTGGTACATTTCTATAAGTCCTGTTGGTAGAGGTTCCTGTAATGCAGCTGCGTTTGCAGCATGTCATCCTCGTTTACAGTCACACTCAGCGGTGGGATCAGTGCGCCTGCTACAGACCTGGGGACACAATAACTCCAACTATATACCTATATAATGAAAATCTTACAAAATTTTTGATGGAATTTGTAGTTTAAGCATGGTCTTATCATTTAAAATGGGACATATTTAAATGTTGTTTTAGTATTCGGCCTTTAGTGTTCAAATTAATGAAACAAAATGTCTGTTTTAATTCAGTCTGTAACAATAAATAAATAAATTGTTATAATTTATTTGCCTATACAGTAACATTGGTTCATGGGAAAGCAATATTCACTGGAAAATATGTCTGAATATCAACATAAAAACAAACTAATATTAGATTAACATGGACATGATACATTTCAAAGATAAGTAAAAGTTATTTCCAATAGGAATTTTATAAAATTTCATTTTACCTGCCCTCCGCATTTAGGAAGTTGAATGTAGAGCATGCATGTTCAGTAGTTAGCAGTTCCACATTCAGTTTGTTAGCGCGCGCGGCGCGGAACGCAGTGTCTACGGCCTTGCGTTCATTTGTCTCCAATCCAATTATCTATGGACAAAATATTTTCTATAAGTGAAACAATGCTAATATCTTTACTAATTTCGGTTTTATAAACTAACCAGTAAATCTATTTTGGGCTCCAATATTTTGAAGAGTCGCAAAGATTCTTCTGTGATTTCATATGATCCCCGCACCTGCCACGACAATACTGTCCTGGAAACAATTAGTCATAGAATGCAAACTTATGCTTTTGTCTAGTTGTTTTAAATGCAGTGGAAAACACTCATCCATGGGTATATCCTAAAAATAAAACTCCCGGAAAAAGGTTCCTGGAAATGTATATACAAAGCAAGAATTCTTGTCCATTGAATTTTTTTTTGTATTGTGATAATTACCTTGGGAATAAAGCCATAGGGCCCAGCACTGTCACACCATTGTTTAATCTGAAGCCATACTGCAATAAATGTTCCTAAGTTACTAAAACAAATGAGAACTTTTCACATTAAGTTTAGTATAAAAAGAATGATGACAAAAATATTTCTGTAAAATTAAGTTGGAATAGTAACAAGGATCTGGTGATCTTACATGTCATTAACAAGATATAACAACAACAAATAATCTCATTTTGATACCAGATATTAATAGAAAACTTACTGTTGCGTAGGAATCCACCATAAGGCCTAGTTCCAACTCTTGATTGATTACCCGAACTGTGGTCTTTTCATCGCCTTCATAAGCACCCTTGTGCCGCACCAAACTGAAATTCATAATTTTAAATTATAATGTTACGTTCCAAATAAACAAATACGATAAACAGCTGATTGTTAGAAATAAAATATAACCTTAAAATTGGAGTCCTCTTAAAAGTGGTGGCGACCCTTTTAACTGAGTTCAATAACATTTTTGTTGTTTTATAGTATTATGGCTATTGCTTAAAAAGATTAGCAATATAAAGTCTAAACAATAAATAAATAAATTATATTTGGGTTCGTGCTGTCAATGTCAGTTGTTTATCGACTCAACTGTCAAAAGCGAAATGGAAAGAGTTTCTCTACGGTTTTATTATTTTTAAACACAATTTGATTTTCCTTTTTCTTTTTGGCGCACCAGCAACCTTTTCTTTAGTATTAATGGTATTTTTTTAAGTAATATATAAATTGCACACAAATAGCAAAGATTTTTGGCTATCACTTTCTACAATTTGGTAAATATTTAGGTTATGCTGTTCACACTGAACCAGACAAGAACGGTATGACGTCACCGATTAAGTGAATGCGGAAATACTGGGAAAGGGAAATGCGGATAACCGGTATGCGTCACTTATTGCAGATACGCGTCAATTTTGAATTATGCAGATGTCAATTTTTGATAACACAGTGATAACATTAAAACCACAACAAAGTTTGGTTTAGCTAACTTTTTTGTATTTTAAAATATTAAGTTTTATTGTTGTGCGAGTCAAAAATATATTGGAGTGTTTTAAACGGAATCAAATTCTAAATTACCAAGTCTGCAAGTTTTAAGATGACAAGTGTTGAGAGTTCGACGATTGTTTTGCACGAAGAAAGAAAACGGCTCATTAGTCATCGTAGTGAATATAATGTTGATTTGTGGGGAGAATTTAAGAAACGCTGGATGGTGTTCGGCGTTCTAGTAGCGGTCGCCCTGGCGGTGGTATCTCCTCGACTGGGCGCTCCCGGAGGCAACTACCCTGCATGTTCACACATAGATCATTTTAGAACGCATAGCACTTCATATGAACATGTAATTAATTTTTATAGCTTTTAAATTACACACAATATATGCATAGACAAACTTAGAACTTAAAATACTACACATAGATATTTGGTAATAATAGTTGATCAAAAGAAATTGCAAATAAGTATGTTACACTTTAGAATCAAGTCTTGGAATTTATTAGTTTTAGTAACTTAAGAAGTGTTCCATATGGTTCTATAAAGGTTCTATTAAAATCATCTTTTTTTACATTATTTTTTATTTACTAAAAGTTAACAATGGAAAAGTAAATCTGTATTAAAATAGAGATGGATGGACAAGAGATGAAAAAACAAGTAGTAAATAGAAGCCATCATGTTTATACATTTTAAGATTATTCACTTACATTATAACAGGCTTTAGATTAATTATTACAGTGCTAATTTTCATAATTAAATTAAACATCTAATGCAAGGGAATAGATTTTAAATTCTCAAACTAAACATACCTAAGGCAGCAAAAACAAAATTGTTGTTATAGAAATTCTAATGAACGCTTGCTTATTTTTAAAATTATTTATGCAATGCTTTGAATAAAGACTTTAACAGTTAAACTAATTTTTGCTTACTTTAGAGGGATTGCAGAAAATTGCAGATTTTTATTACACAATACAATGTTATGCCACATACATAGCTCAGTTTTTATTCTAATCCTTTTTTTTATTACCGAGCAACCTTTTACTTAATCTTAATTATTACTTTTCACAAAATCTGCTACTGTTTTTGAAATGAGAAACATTTTTGTATAGATGAAAAATCTGAAACTATCTTATAAACAACAATTAAATCATCATTTTTTTTTTCTTCTTGATATTTACATATTTTTTTTTATTTTTTATAGGTACACTTCGTATGGAAGTTGTGCGATTTTGCGCACTTTCTAGTTTATACTACATAACGGGACGTAGTATTTCATTGCGTGGAGAAAATGGTGTGCGAGCGATTCCTCCGCGTTTATACGCACTATCTGTTCTGCACGCGCAAGTGATTGCGCCAGTACTTGCTGCGGTGTCCGCACTTGCCTTGCGAGACGCTAAGCTCGATAGACGATTACTAGAAGGGTATGTGTTAGACATGTTGGTAATACAATAGAATTGTTACGAAAATGAGGCAAATGAGTAATGCAACGCCTAATTTTAGTTGATACGACCATGAACATCAGCTATGAGGAACTGCAGATGCGTTTACGCCTAAATCCTGTCTCTGGTGTTCATTAAACATAACGTACATTTTATACTGATTTAGGATATTTCTCTTAGTGCCCTGGTGGCGCGTTCACGCGGACCTTGCGGCTGGCTGTCGCTGGCACTTTGTTACGACTCGTCACCAGCGACGCCTATATTGGCAGCACTCAACTACGCCGTGTCCCTGATCGCTGCACCACTCGCCATTCTATTCTTTGTTAGTTTACCTCAGTACGTAGATAAAAATGCTATCGATAGCCTAAAAGGATCTATTTGATTGCTATTACCTATTTTAATATTATTAGATCTCATACTCTTGTCTATGGTACAGTGTGGTCGTACAGCTCTGCCTCCTTTGAGCGGCATATTGTGGACGGTGACAACAACGACAGTGCCGTTTCTGATTGGTTGCTGGCGGTCGCAGCGCCCCGCTCCCCGCGCCCCCCGCACCACCGCACGTCTACTGGCACTCTTACTGCTTTACATCGACTGCTGCGCGCTCTTGTGGGAAGCTGAGGGCAGTCTTTACATCACCGATGTCTTGGCTACTTTGTTCTTAGGTAATAACGTACTTTAGCGATCCAATAAGGTCTTAGATGTCAAAGATTAAGAAAATAACAAAGTATCGACAACAGATGTTGCCATGTACAGTTTATATCTGACAATAATGACAGAAAATAGGGATGTGACGTTTATGATTCGAATAAAAAACCGGAACCGGAAAACTTCTCGCTGATGTTGAGGGATTTTGATGCTCTTTACTTTAATTTACTCTTTACTATAATTTTTAAATGTATATTTTCCTGGCTATAGAAATAAGCAGCGTGTCGCTAGCTGCTGCAGGCAGCTCGCTGTACGCACACTACGGGTTACTGCGACGTGCGGAGTGCCGCGCCCTTGCACTGGCCGCTGTCCCTAAAGCAGTCGGACTCGGTAAGTATATACTTTGATTTATACGACCGATGATTTTAGCTTTCTTATACCTTATGTATACTTGACACAGGCTGCCTGTGTCAGTTACAGATTCTTTATTTCGCTGTAACATTACCAATGGAACTTTATTTAGGTTGGGAGATGAAAGTGTCGTGTATGTCGTCTGGGCTGGCTCACTTGCCGACCGTGTTCCTGGCGCCCACGCAGGCCCTGCTGATGGCCGCGCTCTATGGAACTGAAGAAGACCAGTATGATGATGATGCGGAAGATCTCTCCCTACTTCGTGATTGATTAGAAATGATAATTATAATTTGAATTAGGACCAATTTATTATAGTTTGGTGTGAACTTTTTTTTACGAATCGTAATTTTGTTGAAAGATTCTTATTATGCATCCTCTTTGGGTAAAAGTTGAATGTGTTGATTTTTTTTTACTTTTGTTATATTTTGTAAATTTCTTACTACAACACTCAGTTATTTGGTTACTTTCTTGGCGTAAATTGACACTGTAAAACTACTTTATTATACTTAGAAATGTAATTCCAAGATTTAGTCATAGACAATTTTAAATGATAACTAAGCGATAAGTTCAAAACATTGCCTTCCACCGAAGTGTGGCCAGTTCAAAGTCTGCGATACACCTCATTAGTTTATATAGTAAATAAGTATTTAATTATAATAGTATTTGCTAGTATAAATTAGCTTCTAGTCTTAACCTGGGGCCTTCCATTAGCCTTATATAATTCAGATTAGTATGTTACCACTAAAACTAGAAACGTCGATTTAAAATTAGTATTTAGTCGTTTAAATTAGTAAAATTCAACCAAGAGCGAATTACAAGAGCCAATTTAGCGCCGTCCGTGTTTGTCTCAAGTAAATGCTCAAATGCTTTAGTTTAATTGGATTTAGGTTTGTTATCTAATAAATTGTGACGAATTTATTCTTTAACTTCGGTTGTGATTTTACTGATGATTTAACAAAACCGGAAAGATAAAGTGTAGCTACACATTACGATACAGAACAAACAAATTAAGGAATCACTTTTTTTTATAACATAAGGTGGCAAACGAGCAAGTGGCCACCGCCAAACTGGCAAAGCGACCGCTGCCCCACATTCGCAATAGCGGATGCGTTGTCTACCCTTAATCGACGGAGGAGACGCATAAAGAAGATATTTTCCCTTCCTATGCGTCTCTTGCACCGTCAAATCAACGTTCCCTACACTTCCTTCACTTATGAGAAAAAAGGGACTAAGGCTGGGCCTCCGGCACCACACTCATCAGACGAAAGGCGGAATTGCTCCTACTTCACGCCTGTCTGTGTGGTATTGGTATTGTGGTGGGCGAGCCGACCCATTCGTGCGAAGATGTTAAATCGGGCTCCCACTGTTAAAATGTTAAATCATTTTAAGATTAAAATACTTTGTATAGGAATAAAATAAATGGCCTTTTTAAATACATTTAGTCATTCCAGCTTTAATGTAAAACCAATACTGAAAACTGTACAAAATGGTTGTAATAAAATGTTGGGTTTCTTTAAATAAAATTACGTTTACGAATCAAATGTGTTTTATTAAATACGCTTATGAACTAACATCATATCACAATGTTTTATTGTACAATTTGACGAACTTCGTCACATGTGAAAGTAAATCTACTTAATAACTATTTATATCACAATCACAGTCATTATAGCACTTAAACTGTCTTAAAGTTAGTCTCCACGGCCAAGACACAAACACACTGTTAGGAATTTTTTTCGTAAAAAAAAAAATATCTCGGTGGTGAAAACCCACACTTCTAACAGGGCTTTTGAAGATTTTTCAGCAATATTCAATTTAGATTCGAATTTTAAAATTTCATGTATTATTAAAATCAAATTATCCAATAATCGATAAATTTTCATTTTTAATTGGTCACATCACTAAAACATCATATTGACATGTGACAGCTGTCAAACCAATCTCAAGCGCAATACTTGCCAGTGCTAAAAGCCCGTTTTCACTACAAAGTAGAACGTTAAAAGAATGAAAGCTTTAACTATATATAATACAAATGATTAAAAATTAACATAAAGGCACTTTTTATCACATATTTATACATTTTTAAATAAAATTACTGCCGCACTATTAGTTTTTTTAAACCCTTAATGTAACTTTACTGACATTCTCTAATTGATATCAAGTTCTTCTCTTCTGTCACTTGATATCAGTTAAGAAGAGAAGACAGGTTAGGCAAGACCATATACTATGAGGATGTGAGTCAGGCAGGCTGTGCCTCCGCTGGGGCCTGCTGCTGCAGCAGCTCCCAGTAGCGGCCGCGCTTACGGACCAATTCCTCATGTGAACCGGATTCTGCTACTACACCTGGAATAATTTATTATAATTATGGTTACTGTGTCAATTAGATTTAATTGTAATTTATTAGAAATTAGGAGATAAATGACATCTTTCCCTCGCTTTGACTAAACAAACGCACATCTGTTGTGCGATTGTCGTTTGTTTCGCAGCCAATTCAACTGTTTAGTTGCACAACTGAAAAACGACTAATGTAAAAGCCACATAAGCTCAGGAATCAAAGCGAGACTAAACAGTTGTGCACAGTTTAGTCAAAAGAGCGTACTTAATGTTTACTTTCTATAGAGTGGATAATTAATTGGTGTTTTTTTAATCGTGTACCTTTGTCTATGAGACAGATAGTGTGTGCATGTCGTACTGTGGCCAGTCTGTGTGCGATGATGATGGTTGTGCGACCGCGAGATGCCGCTTCCAGTGCCGCTTGGACCGCCTGAGGACATGCAATAATAGATTGACTTAAAGTTATGTATTTTAAATTCAATGTAGTAAAAATAGACGGTGATATGTCATTACAAAGGTAAGTAAAGGAACCAAGGATTAAACATAATACAGACTTTAAAACATTTAAAATAAAACAATAGACGTGCAATACAATGCATATAAAAAAAACAAATAGAAGACCCGAATACTGCCACGAAGTTTATTAGACCGAGACTAGGTTCTATAGTGCCTCTAATTAAATAGAATTTATTAAAAATGTGTATAATTTACCTTCTCACTAGCCGCATCTAGTGCAGACGTAGCCTCATCTAGTAATAGCACTCGCGGTCGTCGCAGCAACGCGCGTGCGATCGCCACACGCTGTTTCTGTCCGCCTGACAGCGCCGCACTGCCCGCTTCCAACACTGTGTCGTAACCCTGATAGAAACAAAAAATTACGCTTAAATTAGAACAATTCAACACAACATCGAATTTCAAGGTAGCTAAGGGTAAATAATAGCAAAATAGTTTAAAATGACCCATGTCACTAAAAATAAGGCCTGGTTTACATTATGCTAGTACAGTAGGACAGTGCATAAACAAATTTGACTCATAGGTGTCAGCCTTGTTATTTGCCGTCGTTGATTTTGAGCACTAAAATCCAACATCAAGAATCAAGCATTATTACTCCAGTGTATTATTTTATTATACAAGTTATACATAGTTTAGTGGACTTTAATAATCGACATACCAGTGGGAGGCTGGCAATGAAGTCGTGTACATTCGCCTGTTTGGCGGCGTCGATGACCTCATCTAGAGGTACTTCTCTAGCGGCGTCACCGTACGCGATGTTATCTCGTACGCTGCGCTCGAACAGCGCCGGCTCCTGCTGCACGAGGCCGAGCTGCGCGCGCAACTGACGTAAGGTGAGGTCACGTTTGACGTCACGACCGTCCACTGTCTGAAAAAAACATAATTATATTGCTGGTTGATTTAAATGAAAAATAATCCTACTCGAAGGACCAACAATGCAATTTACGTAAAGGCGTATATAATCGAGTAACTGTTAGCCCCCGTAAAATTAAAAAAATATAGACTGTGTTACCCACTAGTTACGTAGGTTTTTAATGGTGAAATAATTTTTAAAATCGGCCCAGTTTTGAGTAATTTCAATACATATAGAAATACAAATCTTTCCTCTTGATAATATTAGAAAAGATTTAATTTGTATTGCTATCACATGCGAATAAAAGATGTATAAGTAAATAACAGAATTTCTGTTAAACATTGTCAGCTGAGTTACAAAGATTTTACTGTAACTTGCGCTCTTATTACACTCGTAGTATACTAACCACACTGCCGCTGTCAGGGTCATAGCTCCTCATGAGCAGCTGCAGCAGCGTGGACTTGCCGCAGCCGCTGGGCCCCACCAGCGCCAGCGTGCGGCCCGCCACCAGCGACACGCTCAGCCCGCGCAGCACCTCCACTTGCGGCCGCGTCGGGTAACGGAACTTTATGTCAGAGAAGTTTATCTCACCTGTTGCCGACTGAAAATAAAATAAATAAATAAATAAAACACCATATATTGACCACGAACAAAATAAAAAAAAAGAAATTTACAAAATATGTTAATTAAAAAATACAAATCAGTTCTTGGGCTAAAGAAGGCTGAACTGATACTCTTTTTCACTGAAGGCTGCGCTGGTTTCAGAAAAGTAACGTTCAATTTTAGTAAAGTCAAAAGTGAAGCTCGCAAAAAAAATGTTACCAACACACTAAAATCAAAATCTCACGTATTTTTCTCTAAACTAGTTCCGTAGATTTTTTTTAAATTGTTCATCACAATGGACACTATCGATATCGATATTGATTAAGCGTTTGTGGAATGGATATGATGATGTATGGAAGCAGCACATACTGTGCCGACCCTCCGTAGGGATAAGGGCAAGTTGATGATGATAAGTTTCTTGATTGCTTACCCAATCAGGGTCATCAACAGCAGTAGGTTCAGTAACAACTTGCGGTGTCCGCTGTAGTGCGCTGACGACGCGGGCCGCCGCACGCCGCGCTGCTGCGAAGTTAGGTGCAAACGACAGCGCCTCCGCTAACATCCATGCTCCGTATATCAATGCCTCGGATACCCTATGTAAAAATAATTAACATTTGGTTACAGTTTACAGGCGAAAGGTAATATTGAGAAAAATTAAAAAAAATACAAAAGTATGTATGTGTTTCCCGACTATCTACAACTATGCCAAATTTTATCGAGATCCATTCAGCAGTTTAGGCTTTAAACTCTAACATCCATCTATCTAAAGTTTCGCATTTATTTGAGTAGGATATGAGTTTAAGAGCGCACAATTTTGAATAAATCGCAAAACCGTTTAATCTCGCTTTGATTCTTATGAACTTATATGGCGGTGCGCTTCTCGATGTTTAGTTGTGCTACTAAAAGTTTGAATTAACTGGGAAACATTCGACAGTCGCACAAGATATTAGTCAAAGTGCACATGCTCTTACAAGGATAAAGGAAGGAAATCAAATTTTTTGTCTTATAAGACTATCTCTACTAGTAAGTTAATTTTTCTAACTCATTCTATGGTGAAATTTAAAACTTTTTATGTAATATACTTACAGTATAGCATATTCATAAGGTAGATCCTCTCTAGCAATAAGATATCCGCCGTACGCGAGAGAAACTGCATATCCGAGTGTAGGCGCGCATAAACACAGGCCGTATACAGGGCCGCGCACCCAGCGGGCGCCGCGCGCGTGCGTCTCCGACTCACGCAACGCTTCAGCGTATCTGTCCAGTATTGCCAGCTCCACGCCTACAACCATAGACAAATGTCAATATAGACTGACAGCTGTCAGTGACGTAACTAGGGATGTACCTGTTACTTTAATCGGTAAAATACCTGATATACCTTAAGCGATAAAAAAATACCGTTTTCGGATTGTAGTTAAATTTGAACAAATAAGAATTCATGAAACCACTTGATTCGAAAAAATAACCGTTTCGGAGTAATTTTTTAAACACATATAAGAATTAGTCAAAGCACTTAAACAAGAAAATGGATTTAATTTTTTAGGTATCAAAATACGATTTACAATCGTCTGTTTTAGATGGTTTTGAAAGGATGGGGTGTCTATAAATTATTTTATTTACCAAGACTCTGTACTGTGCGCACATTGAGTACAGCTTCTGTCGCTAGACGGGCGGCGCGCTGTAAGGACTTTAATTCCCTTTCCTCGGCGCGTTTCGTTACAGTCCCTTCTAGCCAGATACCACCAATCACCTAAACATAACAAGCAAAATTACACCGTGGACAAACTAAAAGATGTTTGAATTCTCCGTAATGTTTAATAAACAAGATATACTTACACATGGTACACTTAGTAGACTGACAAGCGTCATTTTCCATGAATAAGCCATAGCCAGACCCACACCTAGCACCATTGTAGATGTCCCTTGTAACATTGTGCCTAACCGAGTACCTAGAAATAATGCATTGGATTAACAACTCTATTTCATATAGAATAAGGCACAAAATAGTTTCTTGAGCAGAGTTCGTTGTGTACTAACCAGTAGCGCCTTGCACAGCTGCGCAGTCGGAGGCGAGACGCGCGCACAGAGACCCAACTGAGTTGGTCGGCACGTCGAACCAACCTTGCTCCTAAAATAGTTCATACATAAGTAATTTTGACTTAATCGTGACCAACATATCTTGATCCTTCAAACTGTTCAATTTAAAAGAGTTTTGTGTATCCAAACATCCTAAGAGTACATCTTTGACTAAACTATCGCACAACTGTAGTGCGATTGTCGATTGTTTTGCAGCCAATTCAACTGTTTAGTTGCACAACTAATAATCGAGTAGTGTACCTCCATATAAGCTTATAGGAATCAAAGCGAGAACAAACAGCTGTGCAATAGTTTAGCCAAAGGAAGGCTTTTATTCTGCCTTCGACGAACCTAATGGTGTCTTAGGGTGTCCATAAAAGTAAAGATATGATGTTACACGCCTTTTCTTTTTCTTTTCCGCCTATAACATACCTGTACGAGGAAGTTTCTGAATGTCATGACCCGCAGCCTGTCAGTGAGGCGAGCGCCGGCGCGACCGAGCAGCCAGGCCTGCAGGAAGGTGACGAGGCCGCTGAGCGCCGCCACGCCCGCGAACATGCCTGCATACATGTGCGACTTCTCGAGAATCTCTTCAGGATTTGATAAAGAGAACATCTGGAATTAGATGATATGGTTAGTTTTGATTTAATTAGTGTAAATAAAATAATAAGTGAATTTTATATGTGGAAGGTCTAGAAAAAACAACAATCTGGAATTCGATGATATTTCATTGATGTAATTCACTTTTATTGTACTTACTCCGTATAACTTAGAGAATAAGTACGCGAAGACTGGCATGGTGGCGCCAATAGCGAGAGAGGCCAGTCCTCCGCCCAGCAGAAGCGGCCACTCCGCGCTGTTCAGCTGCAGTAGCTGCCAGTTGGACACCGCAGGCTCCTTTTCCTGCTCACTCTCATCTTCCAATTCATCTTCTGTTTCTGGTTCCTATACCAAGAATTTACAAGTTAAGAAACCGGTTTTTTTGTGTTGCTTCACATCACTATTATTTGACAGCTAATATAATTAATGACAGTTGTCTATCTCTATAAACTTCTAATTTACTCGTCAAAATGGCGGAAATCGAATAGGAAATATCTCGTATAGTCAGTAGTCTCAAAGTATCTCGTTTAGTATTAGACTAGTTTATAATGGTTAGGAGTACGGTTTTCCAATCATGTGGTCGAGGGTTCGAATCCCGCCATTTGACTATTGTAGTAAACCATATACTACAAGCCTAGTACTAAATTGAAATGGTAAAAGAAATATTAGTAAATTAACAAACATCTATAAATATTAAAAAAAAAGAAAAGTGATATACTCACAGGCGCCATGTCAAGTGCGGGTGGCGGTGTGGTCAGTCGTAAGCTGCTTCGCATGAATCCTTCGCGAACCATCGATCCTGTATCAAAAGTAATCTAATTACAGACTTCTATTATAAAATCAGGATTTTTACTCGTATTAATATCATAAATGCGAATGCTTAGATGGATGGATGTTTGTTAGAGTTTGTAGCCTAAACAGTTGGACGGATCTTGATGAAATTTAGCAAAGATTTAGAACACAATCTAAGCACACATAGACTACTTTGTTTTTTTCTAATTCCATGCGAAAGGAGTTGCGGGCGTAGCTAGTAATTTATATTGATAAGAGTATGACTGAAGAATGATGTAAAAACTAACCTTTTCTGCTCTTAGTAGAACAGATGCTGCTATTCCTCCGCACCGGATGTGGTTTGCGTGCAACCACTACGTCATCATCTTCGCCTTCCGCTGTTGATTCTGCTAGAGCTTTCTCGATGCTCCTATATAAGACATAATCATTATTAATTAAAGAAACACGTGAATTTTAAGTATAAATAAAAGAAATCGATATTTTGATATTAGCGCCATCTATCGATGCGGACCTGTGCGTGAGATCGTCGTTAACCAGCCGCCAGTAGGCACCGCGTTTAGCCAGTAGCTCCTCGTGTGTGCCCTGCTCTAGTACTGCGCCCTGCTCCACGTACACGATACGAGATGCGTTCACTATTGTCGACAGCCTGTACAAATAATTGTAATTAAATAATTGAATCTTACTAATATTATAAATGCGAAAGTTTAGATGGATGGATGGATGTTTGTTAAAGTTTGTAGCCTAAACGGCTGAACGGATTTCGATAAAATTTGGCATAGATGTAGAGAATAGTCTAGAAGAACACATAGGCTACTTGTATTTGTTTTTTTTTTAATCCCGCGCGGACGGCGTCGCGAGCAAAAGCAAGTCAAGAATAAATCAAAATGTTTAAAGGTTTTACTTCTAATATTTTTATAGACTTACCTATGGGATACTACTAATGTTGTTCTACCCACACTTGCAGCGTCAAGAGCGGCTTGCACCTAAAATATATAAAATTTTAAGTTTCGCTTTTAAGATAGAATAAGTTAAATAAGCAAAATAAAATCGCACTGTAAAGTCTTATAATTGCAAAAAATCGAATTCCTACTCTCATAGTACTTGTAATTTCAAAGTTAAAAATGCGTTGATTAGTTTTAGATAGTTTTTCACAACTCCTTGCCCTAAGAGAAGGTAATTTGCCTTTTCGGTGTAAGAAGTTAAATATATTTTACCTGTCTTTCAGCAGCAGGATCGAGTGCTGAAGTTGGTTCATCTAGCAACAGTATGGCGGGGCGGCGCAACAACGCTCGCGCGATGGCCACACGCTGCTTCTGTCCGCCGGAGAGCTGCGCCCCGCGCTCGCCTAACACTGTGTCGTAACCCTAAAATGGTATTGTACTATAGAAGCCCAGGATTGTACTTTGGAGGCCCAATTTTAGTCCCTTTCTCGTCCCACCCTTTTCTTATAAAGAATTGGATGGGAAAATGGATTTGACGGTGGAGGTGACGCATATGAAGGAGAAATATCCCCTTATTTGCGTCTTCTCCTCCGTGGATTTAGGGTAAGCAACGCATCTGCAATTGAGAATGTCTATGGGCAGCGGTCGCTTCGCCATTTTAGCGGATCTAGGTGGGAGCTTGCTGGTTTGCTACCTTATTATATAAAAAAATAGAGGTTACCGGAAATGGGAGATTGGTTCTACGGAGCGGAACTAAATCTTAATAGATTATTAAAATAATTTTAATAAAAATAAATATACATACGTTAACAAGCTTGGTAATAAAGCTATGCGCGTGCGCAGTTTTAGCAGCAGCGATGAGGTCGGCTTCAGAGACGTTCTCCATGCCGAGTGTGATGTTGTCGCGGATGGTGCCGCTGAAGAGTACCGGCTCCTGGCCCACCACGCCTGCAGGTAAACGATGCATTAATAACTAATAATCGAAGCTATAAAAAAATAAAAATAAAAAAGAACATACCAATACTACGTCTGTAGTTATGAAGATGTAGGTCATTAAGGGCGTGGCCATCTACAGTGACGCGGCCGCTGTCGGGCTCGTACGCGCGCTGCAGCAGCTGCAGTAATGTGGACTTGCCGCAGCCAGACCCACCTACCAGCGCCACTGTCTCACCCGCTTTTATACGTAGACTTAGACCACGTAGTACCTGATTATTTAAAAAGTTATTACAGTCATTTTAATGTATAGGAGGTACTAAAAATATTCAAAGAAGTGACAGTTTTACTAGGCTAGGGTCGTCTTACTGAAAATTCAATTACATATTTCTGATATTGTTTAAAACAAAAATAATACAAATCATAACTATCGACTGAATATCTTATCATCATACTAATATTATAAATGCGAAAGTTTAGATGGATGTTTGTTAGTGTTTGTAGCGTAAACGGCTGAACGGATTTCGATGAAATTTGGTTTAGTTGTAGAGGATAGCCTAGAAGAACACATAGGCTACAAACATTCGTTTTTTTTAATTCCACGCGGGCCGAGCTAAAAGCTAATAAGTAAATGTAGTAAAAAAACAGCTATTAAAAAAAAATAAAACTTATTTTTTTTCAACATACTTTGACATCAGGCCTTGAAGGATAGTTGAAGTATAGATTATCAAAGATAATATCTCCTTTAAAGCTGTCAGGTTTAGAGCCGGAATCCCGCAGCGCGTCCACTTTGGACCGTCTTTCCAGTAGCTTGAACAGCGATTTAGCAGCTCCCCTCGCTGCTGAGAACATCTCTAGATGTGGCTGACACATCGCGATGTTCTGCGCCGCCATGAACGTGCAGAATAACACCTAAAGACAGATATATCTTGTACACAGTCTTTTTGTAATTCTCCCAAACCAAAAAACGCGCTAAATTGCTTATCGTGTTAGTTTATTCCATTTCACTGAACTGTATAAAAGGATAGGTGTAAAAATTAGAGTTATTGCTTCGTTCTAATTTAAATCTACCTATTGATGTTAACAGTAGTTAATTAACTCTTATTTGTTCGAATTCTCATTATCGCCTCTAACCGCGCCCGTCAGTGTCAAGATGGCGACAATACAATAGCCACAAAATCCAATGTTTTATAGATGTCAGTGTTCTAGGTATACCATTTGCAAAAAATCGATTAGTACTTTTTATGACTACAATTTTTGACATTAAAATTAGAAACCTCAGAGATTACTAAGGTATGTATGTAATTCTGATTTACTTACAGTAACCATAACACCAGGATGGTATTCCCTTTCTGGCGGCGGTAATGGCATGTCCCTAGCGACGAGCGCAGCGCCGTATGCAAACACAACCGCGTTTAGACTGTAGGTGAGCAGCCAACCAACACCCGCGCCCGCTCCCGCCCATGCCACACGCCTGCGAGACGCGACTGACGCTTCTTGTAATGCTTCTGTATATCTGTGGAACATTGATGTACTGTTTAACTGTCATATTTACTAATCTAAGTACTACCTACATACATATCAACAGATACGATTATCATCACTAACTCATTATACGTCCCAACTGAGGGGCTTGGAACCTACCCTAAGTAAGGGCGAATATGCCATAGTCAATCGCGTTGGCCCAAGTCAAGTGCTAAAACCCCTGAGCCAATAGATAACACGAATTAAACAATAATTCAACACCTTTTTCTACAGTAACAAATCTAGTTTGACACGTTTGTGATGTGATTAGTTGTTGGTTGTTTCAGTATACCTTTCGACTTCCAGATTTTCACCAGCGTATGCTCTGACGGTGCGCACCGCAGCCAGCGCCTGCTCCACCAGCCGGCCAGCAGCGCCGTACCTCGACACCTCCTCGCCAGACCAGCGTGTTTGGTTCTGAAGTACAAGTGTTTACTATGTATTAGCTTGACAAAACCGCTTTATAACTAGGCACATATCTACAATGTACAAAAAATTAAGTATTTTTCTATTCCTTCAGCGCCTACGGTACCAGGTGTAGCACATCCTGTATGTTAGCTTTCGCCAGCAGGTCCGTCCGCGTGGAATTAAAAAACAAACATAGTGAGTAGCCTATGTGTTCTTCCCGGCTATCCTCTACGTCTACCAAATTTCATCGAAATCCGTTCAGACGTTTAGGCTACAAACTAACAAACATCCATACATCCATCCATCTAAACTTTCGCATTTGTAATATTAGTATGATATAAATTTCTTATTCTCCTATAAACGATATATGTACCAGGTGTTTTAGGCCTGGTTTCGCATTTAACGTCTTAAGCAGTACAACTTTTCACCTTAGATTAATATATGTACCTTAGCAACAATAGCAGCAAAGATAATAGCAATAGGGACGAGCGCCAGTGCAGCTAATGTCAATTGCCAGCCGTACGCCAGCGCCAGCGCACAGGACAGTGCCACAGTGCCCCCGAGGTACGATATCATCGCGACTTGCTCGCCCACGCCTTGCCTTAGCTTCTCCGTCTCTCTGTAATAATAGCCTTATGTTGTACAACTATCAAAACAATATAGCACATTTCAGATGTGATTTGGCACTTCAGAAATAAGAGTTTTCTTTTCACCGACGTGCCAACTCAAAATAGGGTACAATAAAAGTCATACTCGGTAAGTGACGCAGCGAAGTTCATTGTAGTGTTGGTGTCGAAGAAAGCTATCTCCTGACTCAGCACCGACCGCAGCAGTTTCCAGCGTAGTCGTGCTATCTGTAAGTTTACGAAATGTTTTAGAATCACACCCCTTTAGCCGGCTCTTTCTGTTTGATCATTGATTCGTCAATACAAAGTGATTCTCATAATACATGTAATTTAATTAGACTATCGCACTGTTGGGAGATTGTCGATTGTTTCGCAACCAATTCAACTGTTTAGTTGCACGACTAATAATCGAGTAGTGTGTGGACCTCCATCCAATAAGCTCATAGGAAACAAAGCGAGAATAAACAATGGTGCGTTAGTGTAAGGTGTGCGCGCGCTTAGAGGGTTTCTCTAAATTGTTTGTAAACATTATCGACAAGTTGTATTACCATTCTTGCAGCAGCGAAGTTGCAGAGTGTAACAGCGACTGCAGCAGCCACTAGTTGTGCCACCATGATGGCAACACTGGCCCATGCGAACGCTATCGAATCCTCTACCAATGCGTCCATGTGTGACGGACGATCTCCGTTAGGCCTGTTGAACAAGATAATAAAATAGCAACATATTTTTAAAACGATTGTTAACACGTTTAAGAGATTTTCTTTTTTATTCCTACAGTTCCTGCGGTACCAGGTGTAGCAAACCCTGTATTTATATTTATATATTCATTTCCTATTAGAACTGTAAGTGAGACACGTACCGGGTGTTTTAGAACTGGAGCTGGTTTTAAATTTGCACCGGATTCTTAAATTGGGAATTAAACGTTGGAAGGGTGTCTTCAAATCTAAGAATGTAAAAATGTGTAAACGCTAGCAAGCGCAAAACACAAGAAAAGTGAAATTAAACCTTATTAGAATCGAAAAGCATAATTTTATTTGCGATAAAAATTGCTCTGATCTACGGACCAGTCTGTCTGAACCCTTACCACTACACTAAATAATTATCAAATCATAAGGAACACATTTTTTGTGTATGTTGGTATTATTAGTTAATTAAAAAAACTTACAATGGCCGTCCACCGCCGAATAAATACATAAGGTAAGATATAGATGCTGACTCCTCAGCCCTGTGCCGCTGCACGAAGAGTGCTGTGATCTCTCCATACGCCAGCACGGCTAGTACCAGTCCTCCAGCGCACAGCCAACCCAGGATCGCCCCACAGAGGGTCGCGCACCGCTCGCCCCATGTCGCGTATCGCCACTGTAAATATAAACATACATTAATGTCTGTCCTCGGTAATAGATGGCGCTGTCAAAAGGTTAAGCCCCTTTTTTACGGTAATTTGAGACAATTGTAATGTTGCCTACATACTCACAGTTTTAAAACTGCCAGAATTTAGTATTTGTAGTGGGTTTTACATAAAAAAAAATCAAGCAAACATTCTTCTCATCGGTGAAATAATTTATAGTTTATATTTTTTGTAAGTTAATATAACGCTGTATATTACTTATTCGCAGTTTCTAACGTAAACACTTTATAAAAATTCCCAACACATAAACAATAATCGTAAATATTTTTTCCATAAGATTGTACACTAATTGTGTTGCGGAAACTTATGTTTCTCAGTATTAGACATTAGTGCGAAGTACCGGTGGCCGGGGCAAGGATTCGCGGAAGTCTCGTCGGTCATTCCCACGCATTGCTGACTCAGCGACAGGTTTTATACATAATATTAAGCATATTTACATAATAGTTACCAGAGTTTTTTCCTCTATACTTTCGGAAAACTATCGAGATATATGGACAAGGAAGGAAACTCGCGGGGTTTTTCTTATTTACGTCTATTATTTTCACTGATATGCATATTGGATTTAAAATAATGGAATAATCAATATTGTGCAATAGAATATATTAGTAAATTATTAAATGGATGTATGTAAAAACATTGCCAAAGGGTCGGTTTCCACTGCAGAAACAATCGTTACATACTATTAGTGCAAGATTTCACTAGCGCGTTGTGTGTGTCTTATCAAAGAAAATTAGTAATAACTATCTTCAGCCCGCGAGTCCGTCCGCGTGGAATTAAAAAAAACAAAAGCGAGTTACTTAGTTTAGTTTACTAAGATAATATAATTTTGTACAAGTATTTCCGCAGTGGAAATCCATTTTTATACAGTTTTCTTGTTTACATAGGACATTCAACTATACATCTGTTTTGTTACAACTTCACACGTAAACATTTACTATGACTCATTTTAGTCAGTTGTTTGTTGGCACAGAGCTCTTCTACACAAAACTCACACTGTAGTCTCGAACTCACACCTAGAGAATTAGGCAGAAGTTTTATTTAGTACGGGTAGAGTTTGTGCGACCGTCCAGGGCTTTGGACGCTACAGGTTTGCGAATCGCCGTAGAGTTCTCGCCCTGGGCGGTAGAGCTAAAACAATTGCGTGCGTGTCGGCATGCCTCTCGTCTCTACCACCATCTTTCGTTCGTCAGTTTAGAGATCTTAATATCGTACTTCCGTTCGTCTTTCTGGGTGTTATTAAAATATTTCTAACTAGCTTTCGCCTGCGACTCTGTCCGCGCGGAATAAAAAGAAACAAAAGCAAGTAGCCTATGTGTTCTTCCAGACTTTCCTCTCTATCTATGCAAAATATCATCTAGATCTCTTCACCCGTTTAGGCTACAAACTCTAACAAACATCCATCCATCCATCTAAACTTTCGCATTATAATATTAGTAAGATTATACGATTTTCTGCGGGAATCCCATAAAGATTGACGTTCACTTTTTTATTGTAAGAATTCTGTCATTTTTTCCTCTTAGTTCTTCATTCATGATTTCTTAATTCATAAAGTTGACACATTCGGTTGGAATAGTGAACATAATATTTCAACATATATCTTGTATGTAATGAAATGTTGTATTTTCTCTTCCTAGTGAATTATGATACAGATTTTTTTGTAAGTACAAAAATTATCGAAAAATATTCTTGTTATTGAATACAGCTTCTGGACGTTTTAAAACTGAATGTTGAATTGTGTACAATGTTGCTTATAAATTCGTTGTCCGTGCGATGTTTTTGTTAAAGAGGTCAAATAGCAATGCCGATAGTGGTAATAACGTAGACTATATTAGGGCTGACACTTTCAGACGACGCTAAGCATTCAAGTTTGCATAACATATTCGTATTCAAGTCAGATTGGATGTAGTAAAGATATAACTAGATTATTTTTACATTGGTTAAGATTTTTTTACCTATCGCTAAGGAGTCAAAGGTTTAAGTCATTGTTCTTTTCTACATTAATTGACAACCCTACAGTAGCTTGTTGGAACAATAAAATGATAATTATTTGCTTGAGGACGTCGTCGACTAATTAAAAAGAGCCATTTTAATTATAATTCCTAGAAGCAGAGGCGTTTCGTTCATTACCTTTGTTTTAAGTATATTAAAACAATAAGTTACGATTGGTTGACTATTGTTTCATTTGGTCATTTTATTCCCTTGCCTCGTCCCTGGAATTAATAACCGTAAAACAAATAAAACATCATTAACTCTATTTGTCTCTCTTCTTATAGGAACCCAAAATGTAAATCTCAGCATTTTTATTACCGATCCGCCCCGTCTACGCAAGGGTCCAATACTGTTACCGAAAATGTTTTTACTTACATAACATAAAAAGCCTTTAAAATTATCAGTATTTCTACTCTACATATATAGAAACCTTCCTCTTGAATAACTATGTCTTAAAAAAAATGTATCTAAAGCTTTTACGTAGTTTGCAATACAGATTATACATACATAGGGACGGACAGCGGGAAGTAACTTTGTTTTATTCTATGTAGTGATTAGATTTTTTTTATATCAAATTATTAATCAATGAAGTCGTGGATAAGATGTTTTTATGACCTAATTAATTTATATAATAGATGGTGTACTCGTAGTTATTTTTAGTCAATGCTATTAAGACACACTAAGATGTTATTGTCTAAATTTAATATTTTCTTAGTTGTTATTTAATTAGTATGTCTGAAGAGAATCAGAACAGTTATTATTATCTTAATTTTCATTGTTAACAAATCTTAATTGTGGCTAACATAACACAGCTGTAGTTTTTTTTTTCGTCCGAAAGTTATGAATAATAAAAGAAATTCGTGTGTATACTTTCCATTTTATTATTATTGTGTTAAACATGTGTGAACTCTGTATGTGAATTCTACAATAAATTATAATAAAATTTAATTTTTGTAGTTAAACATTTGAGACTATGAAAGTGAAGAAAAAAATTATCAATAAATAATTCTAAACTCAGTAAAGTAACGATGTTGTAAATAGGACTCTTCGAAATTATTAAAACCATTCCCAAAAGTAACTGTCACCCGCTACTGTGTCCTAACGGAATAAAAAAATATAGTTTAGCAGCCTATGATCTTTCAGACTGTGCTCTACACTTATGGAAAAATCCCTTTTAACAAACATCCATATATCCAACCATGTAACTCTACTTTCGCTTTGATAATATTATGTTATCAAACGTATAAAAAGTGTAGTGTAACATTAAATTTCAGAACTTTCGGGGGCAGGAAGAAGGCAGAGGGGGTAAAGACTTGTACTACTAGCTGTAGGGGATAGAGGAAAAAAGGGAACGGGTTTGGTAGAGGGTAAAAGGAATGTGTGTAAGGTAAGGGAACCTGTTATTTCTTGCAAATTTATGAGCGCAAGTCGCTTGGTGATTTCCTTTGAGTTCTGTCTCGAATACATCATTAACTTTTTATGTTTTGTGAACTTGTTTTATTTCATCTTGACCAGATTTAAGTGTAGGCAATTTGATGGATAATTTCGTTGTCCCCATTACATGAAACTTGTTTAATAAAAATTACAGTTTTTTCGCTTACGTGTTATTTATAACACGATGAAATATAACATAATTCTATTGTAATTAATATTTTTCTAAAATCTGATTCACAAAAGGCGGAGATTACGGTATTTTTAACATTATCACATTATTTTAATAAAACGCTAGTTCTGGTAATTTTTTAATCTATGATACAGATAAGTCATTCATTCATTACCTGTCAGTTTGACAGTAACATTTGACAAGTAAACAGGAAGCAAAAAAGTGCAGTGAATGAAGTCTTTCCTTTTCCAGCTTGATCTTTGAGCACAAAGGTTTTTATTGTTAACAATACCTTCTCCGATATGAACTTTTATATTATTTAATGCTTATTATGAATTTTATTACGGTAATTGAAGTTTTTATGCGTAAACGTGGAAAATTGTACAATACCACGTTGTTAGTCATTCACTTTGTGTAAAATTTCAGTTTCCTTTAGTAAATTTTTGACACACAAATTGTTTTTATGTTATTTGATTCAGAGCGGAATAGTCCATTGTGTTTAATTAAATTTTGAGGTTAAAAATGTGGAGTAAAAAAGTTTAAATAACCGATATGTTTCTTTTCTCGTTAAAAATATCAGCTCGTAGCTTTGTAATTGTAAAAAATGCTCTAATTTATATGTCGGAGTTGGGTCTTTCTCCCGACATCATTGCTACCGAGTCTTGGTTTCGTGGGCGTTATTTGGGTGAAGTGCGAGCATTAAAACACTAGAGACACGGATTAACACAATATAATTCGGAATCTACACTTATCACATAGCAAATCAACAAGCAAGACCGAGCAGTGAGTTCAAAGCACCAATCTTTAGACATTACCAACGAACAAACGATCCAACTCGATCCGTTTCTATTTCAAAAAAGGTCCCATAAACACTATCGAACTGCCTTATAAAGATGGCGCCTAGACCTCACTCAAGCCAAGTGCTCTGCTCTGATTGGTCTTTACTTAATTTGAGATTACAATGTTATTTAGTCCAAGAAAAACGTAACTAGTAAAGTAAAATCGAATTAAAAGTTATTAGGAGCTTTTACAATTTCAGTAAACATTAAATATTGCACACAATTCGTAAACAGTAATTCATTAGACAATGGCTACTTAACAACTTCCTATTTTGACTATAATCACAAATTTGTTATCAAAAAAATATGCTTTAGGCATTATAACAAAATAGAAGTTCGTAATTAAATTAACTTAAGATTTACAAAAGGTGTTTACATGATAAAGAGAACGTTAAGCGTTATAATACAATCAACAAGCAACTCCTTCAACGACTTCCTCCGACATATATATATTCCAAATATTTCATTTACATAATCAAATACAACATAACAAATTTATTTTGACTTGTCTTTTATAATT